GCTAAACGTGATAATATCTGCCATTCATGTGTACTTTAATCTGTGGTGCCATTTATCATTAAACTATGTGTCTGAGTCATTTTTCTTTTAGTTGAAAGTCAACTATTATATCCTCGAGCCAACTGGATCGCCTTTGCTCAGTCTGTTCAAAATGTTTTAGGTGATCTCTATATTTTTCTTTACCCATTATTTTTGACAGTTTCGTACCTGTGTATGTCTTGATGATGGCCAGGCCCCCATTATCTTCTTGTCTCTCTCCTCCATTCTGCTGAATCTTTCCTTTTTGCCAATCAGTCTCTCTTCTATTTTTATATCTTGTGTATGTGTCCCACTGAATTTAGCTAGGGTTGTTTCATGAATGTGAGTAAGAGGATTTTCTGAGCTCAAAAACGCTGCAGTTACACCTGTGTAAGAGTGGCCCTGTGGGAACTGGAGAGATGGCTCAGAGGTGAAGAGCACTGACTGCTCTTCCAGAGGTTCTGAGTTGAATTCCCAGCAACAGCATGGTGGCTTACAAACATCTTCTGAGATTTGATGTCCTCTTCTGGCATACAGGTGTACATGCAAGATAGAGCACTCATATACACAAAATAAATTAATTAAAAAAGAGTGGACCTACTGGTGTGCCTTCATGTATGATGGGGGTAGAGGATTGTGAAGATCTCGCCTCCCTAAGGAGATGCTCATATTTAATGGGTGAAAGTGAGTGTAAAGAAATTTTAATCCAGCAACATTGCTGTTCTGTTCTGGCAAGAGATCACATGCAAAGACCTTCTCTCTAGGTATATGTGATCCTGCTCTGGATTACAGTATGATCTAGCTGGAATACAGACACACCCTTAGCACACATCTTTAATTCCAAACAATAAAGATATTGGTTTATAGAAAAAAGCAGCCACATTTGAAAGTGATGTCTAATTGAGAGGCAGACAAAGTATCGAATCTGAAAAGGATTTGACAGAATGAGTCAGGGATAGGATACGCCCAACTCTCACAAGAACAGGAAAGAGTGGCTACTTAAGAGCAGCACAGGGAAAGATTTTTTTTTTTTTTTTTAACGGAGAGTTTCTTATGGGGACAGTTTTACAGAGACAGGCTTCAAAGAGAACAAGTTAGACACAAGTAAAGACAGAATGAGCCAGGGAATGAGAGTGAACCAAAAGATTAGAACATATTGCCAGAATTAGTTTGAGGCCAGGCAGAACAATTCAGTCAGAAGTCAAGAAAAGCCAGTTTGAATCAGTCAGCTTGAAAAGGAGTTTAGATCAGAACAGCTAAGTTGAACCATCCAGATAGAGTTCAGAAAGAACTAGAAAGGCTTGGGAGTGGCTCTTCTCTCATCCTCTCATCTGAGGAAATAAAAACAACATTTAGAGGAGAGACATTTTCCTCAGATAATATCCACTAAGGCCGAAGAAGGAAGGATTTTGTAGTAGCTAATGAGTCACTAGACTGGGTCAAGCTGATAAGGTTTTTTATTTGTTAGTTTTGTTTTTGCCTTTGTCTTTCAAAGCTGGCCTCCGAGATCACACACAAGGGGTGGGAAATGACAAGAGAAGTTCAATCCCTCTTGCTTGATGGACTGAAGCTGTGGGTTATCTTCTTGGAAGCCTGAGCTTCAGTGCTCTAGGCTCTTTCTCCCACCTGCTGGCTTCTGCACCCAAGTCTTGGCACTAGGTTCCCTGTCACCCACATGCTGTAACTTGTTTTCTCTCTTGGCTCTTGAGTCTAAGTCTCTGCTCTGGTAACATGGTTAGATCCCATATGGCCTAGAGTCATGCCTTGTTCTTACCTTGGTCTTCTCCATGCCTTAGCTACAGCTCTACCTAAGACCCATGGCTGGAGCTCTAGGATCTGTAAATAGACTTCTCAGCTACCATCTGCTTCCCTAATCTTGAGAACAGTGCCTGCTTAGACTCTCTGTCCTTGAGCCCATCTGCTAGTATTCCTCAGAGTCCTCAACCAAGATCTTGCAGATTACAAACAGCTGTCTGCTACCCTGGGGATACAGTCTCTTGCTTTACAACTGACTCTTCAATGGTCTGTAGCTCAATAATAGGATTGGAAACAGCAGTAATACAATAAAGATGATAAAAATTATAATCTTGCTGAATGACAACTATGTGCAAGATCTTGCCTGAGTACAGCACATGTTTTTGCTTTCATGGCAATAGACTGTGTATGTTCAAAAGAACAATAGACTACCTATGCTTTCTGCACTTCCTCACTCATTCTTCTATTCTCTCTGGCTTCTCCTCCTCCACTGAATGTGTTTTACTACCTCCTAATTTGCAAGTTCTACACTCCCTCCTCCTACATGAACTCTGTATGGCTTCTGAAGGAAATAGAATATGAATAGCAATAAAGGTCAAAAGGGAACTTGGCAAGGACTGATTTAGAAGAAGCCACAGGCGAAGGGAGGTTTAGAAAGGTGGAAGTGGTTTTCAAAGCCAAACCCATAGAACAAGTCCTAGTTTTCCCTTTTGCCTTCTGACAACCTTTAAAATGCGGGTTTGTTAGAGGAGTCACTACTCATCCACCTTCACCTCTGTCCTCTCTAATCTCCCTCCTACACATCGCCTATGTTGGTGCTCTGTCCTGCTAACAGCTTGGTTTCAGACTTCTAGTCTTTAAAGCTGTGAGAAAATTGTAGTCTTTTTGAACATTTTATTTTATGAGTATTGGTGTTTGGCCTACATGTATGTCTATGAATCATAGGCATGGCTGGTACTATGATGGTTAGAAGAGGGTGTAGATCCCCTGGAACAGGATTTCCAGATGCTTGTAAGCAGTGTGCTGGAAATCAAATCCAGGTTGCATTTTTTTTTTTTTTTTGATGGGATCTGTCTATATAGTCAGGGCTGTCTTGGCTATATAGACCAGGTTGTCCTGGAACTCATAGATAGGTTTGTCTCTGACTCCTGTGTGATGTTCAACTATTTTAAGCCACTAGGTTTGCAACTTCTAATGGTTTCCGCTTAATCTTTTTGTCTAAGAATATTAATAACAACATAAAACTATCATGTAAACACTGAATTCTCAGAAAAAAAAGTACAACACCTTAAATTCTTTGTTTATGGAAAACTTATTTCTTTAACAACCTTTCCACTTCTGTTTGGACTCTTCACATTTAAGAGTTATGCGACAAATGGAAACATAAGTATTCATTGTATCTCTCATATGCTCCCAGTCATCTCTCTGCTCTAGTTCTATACTTCTTAGGGCCATTTGATGAAATTAAGTTAAAGGATAATTCAGGGACCAGGCAGGCGGTCTCAGTGAAATATATGCTAAGCATGGAGGTCCTGGGTTCAATCCATAGCATGAGAGAGGGAGAGAGAGAAGGACACACTAAGGCATGCCTGTAATATGCAGGAACCAAAAGAACAGCAAGAGGTTTTAATGTACATGTTTAAATGTAGGGAATTCTCTCAAGAAAGCTTAGGTGAATGAGAGCTAAGAGAGGTGTGCTTAGCTTACCTGTGAGGGGAGTGGAGATAGATGAATGAGAGAAATGAAACTGGCGAGAGAAAACAAAAGGAATCTCAGAAAATTGGTTGTACAGTGTATGTTCCCTACAGTCTCATCTTGATAATAGGAGACAGAGATTTAAATTGCTTTAAGTAGTTGTTTTTCTGACTGAACTTGTACCTTTTTTCTTCCTTTTTTGTTTTTTAAAATAAATTTAAATGTGTATATTTAAGGCAGACAGCATGATGCTGTAGTAGACATTTGGGTAATAAAAGATTACTATGGTGAAACTAATATGTTCATCAATCCACAGTTGAGCATTCATGTGTGTGCCTGTCAGTCACAGTTTAAATCTCATTTAGTGTTGAGTCCCACAAACAGAACAATTTCACTCTTACTTTGTGATCCAGTATGGAATCAAACTGCACGGCATTTGGGGTGGGATTAAGGGCTGTAAATGGCTACTGTCAGGGACATGAGTGCTTAAGGTTGGAAGCCATGAAATTAGAAGCCGTGTTCGAATCCTGCCTGGAGTCCTTTTCTGTGTATACATGAGCAAGGTTATGTAGCATATGCCTCATTTCCCCAAGCACAAAGGGGAGATAATAGTACCAACCTTACTGAACAGTTAGAAGGATTCTAACGTCTGGGTATAGAAACCTGTCAGTGTTAGCTAGCAATGACTTGCTGCAATGGTCAATATTGTGGACTTGATACTATCTAATTTACCCTAGGAGACAAGCCTGTGGGCAGGCCGATAAGGGATTATCTAGATTAGTTTAATTAAGGTGGGAATAAATGTGCGTGGCACCATTCCCTGGGCTGCCATCCTGGACTGAATAATGAGAAAGGCAGCTGGGTTCCAGTATTGTGGCTCTCCGCGGTTGAAATGCAACCAGTCCCTTCCAGCTAAGCCTCCTCATTGGCTTCTCAGTGAGTCCAGTCAAACCCTCGGTCCTTCGAAGGTTTGTTTCTTTTTTGTTTTTGGTCAGGGTATTTTGTCACAGCAACAAGACAAGTAGTGCCCCTGCTTAAAGCGAACGAACCAAAATCATCTTTGGGGGCTCTAACTTCTGCTGCTGAGGACTGTCGTCTCCAGATCTGATCGGTGCCACCGTCCAGGTCGGCGAGCCTGCAGTCTGGGGGACCTCCCTGTGGGATGACAGATTTGCCCTAGGCCCTCCCTGGGCCCCCAGCACTTGGGACCTCTAAGGCAGCTTTTCTCCAGGGCCTGTGGTGACGGTTTCGAGGGTGTGACGCGTCCAAACGGAAGATGCTCAAAGTGGACTTAAAGGACGAGGCTGTAAGTCCTCCCGGAAAACCCTGCGGAAAGCCACGGGAGAAGAGGGTAGGCAGGGCTGGCGGGAGGGGATCTATCTTGGCGGCGCCCCGAGAGCCACGTCGCCGAGGTCTGGGGCGGGGCCGTGGGTCACGTGCCGGGCCTCCTGCGCGCTGCTGCGGGCGGTGCCTGCCCTCCCCACGAGCCGTGGGCCTGTGGCGCGCGGGGCATTGTGGGCCGAGGGGCGGGGGTTGGGAAGATGGCGGCTCCCAGCCTCCTTAACTGGAGGCGGGTTTCCTCCTTCACTGGGCCGGTGCCCCGCGCCCGGCACGGACACCGAGCCGTGGCCATCCGGGAGCTGATGATCATCTTCGGCGGGGGCAACGAGGGCATCGCGGACGAGCTGCACGTCTACAACACGGGTAGGCGGCGGCTCGGCGACCCCGCCTCGGCACCTCGGAGGGGGAGGGGAGGCGCGACGGACGCGGGCCTGACAGCTGTCACCGCGGGGTAGCGGCTTCCTCGGCCCGGCCGGCGGCCGGGGAGCTCGCAGAGTGCGGCTGGGCGGCCGGGGCTCGCGGAATGCGGCTGGGCGGTTCGCTTCTCCCGGGCCCGCGGGCTGGACGGGACTCCGCGGTTAGACATCGAGGCACCCCGGCCCATCCTCCCCGCGGACCTGAGCGAGACCGCGGCTTCCACGGTCTGGGCCTCCCCGCCAGGGCCGGTCACTTCAGGGCCCGAGATCCCGCCAGCGTCAAAAACAGTGTCGAGCCGGGCCTCGGTGGTCTTTGCCTTCCGAGGGGCGGGGAGGCCTTCTGGCCGTTTAGCTTCAGGCGGAAGCCGGCGAGACTTTTCTCTAAACTAGCGGGGAAGGGGGTTGTGGGTGAAACCGGACCGGTCCCTACGTGGTTGATGTATGAAATCTGCTCCGCTCTTCTGGACTGGTCCTGGCAAAGAGGGCTGTCAGAGCTTAGGCACTGCTGCGGTGCGCGAAGTGTCGCTGGTCAAGCGGGAGGGGGCCAGGCTTTGACCTCGTGCCGGTTGGAATTTTAATTTCTCCACTTGTAAGTAGTCTAGCAATCATAGGAAACTAGTGACTAGTTACCGAATTTGGAATCGATATCGTTCACAACTAACAACTTTTCACAGTCCTCTTTGTTTTAAGTGCTAAAAATAGCAGGAGAAATTTTGGAAATTTTGACCCTTTTTGCTACCCTCCCCAATACTCCAACAGAAAAAGTTTAAAAAGTATTTGATTTGGCATAGTTTAAATACCCTGGGCTTAGAAGAAATTAGATTTGTTTTGAATCTTGCTTTGCCAGTTGTTCAAACTCAGCATTAAAGTTACCAAGCCTTTCTAAATCTCACCTCTGTAATTGGGATGACACTCACCAAGATTTTTCCAGGAGCTAAGTGTTGCAGATCAGGTGTTCTTTTCTTTTTCAAGACTGGGTTTCTTTGTGTGGCCCTGGCTGTCCTAGAACTAGTTCTGCAATCTAGGCTAGCCTTGAACTTACAGATATCCAACTGTCTGATGTGCTGAGATTAAAGGCATGCGCCACCATTGCCTGCCCCAGATCTGGATTTTTTTTTTTTTTTTTTTTTTTTTTTAGTTACATTTTATTAACTCTGTATCCCCTCATTCCCTCCCAAACCCTCCCTCCTTCCCTCATCTCCTCCCTGCCCCTTTCCAAGTCCACTGATTGGGAAGGACCTCCTCTCCTTTCATCTCAGATCTGGATTTTCAACAGCAGCTTTCTTGACATTTTGGGACAGGTGATTTTTGGCTGTAAGTGCTAACTTGTAGTAAGATGCTGGCATCTCAGGCTCAACCCACGACTTGGTAGTAGCACCTCCATCCCAGTTGTGACAACTAAAAATTATCTTGGACATTGCAAAATCAGTATCCTTGGGGGAGCAAAAGAATCCCCAGTTGAGAACTGTTGAAATATAAGCTGGATATTTGTATGTATATATACACATATACTTTGATTATATGTATTTATTCTTTGACATATCTGTCAGACTCATGGAGTGTGGTGACTTGTTATAACTGGTTTTAATTTAATTTTATTCTTTACAACTAGTTACGAATCAGTGGTTCCTGCCAGCTGTTAGAGGAGACATCCCTCCAGGTTGCGCAGCCCATGGATTTGTCTGTGACGGCACTAGAATACTAGTATTTGGGGGCATGGTTGAATACGGAAGATACAGCAATGAGCTTTACGAGTTACAGGTAAGTGTATCTCACATTTATTATTTCAGGCTGAGGTGCTAATGAAATTGTCATAGTTTTTAAGAGATTGAAAAATAATTTATTAGCACAGGTACAGTAACAGATGTTCTACATTTCATAGCTTCAAAGAAAGTGTTTCCACTTCACTGACAAGTCAAAATATCTAATGTCTTGCCCTATAACTGGAATGGTATTTACAGCCTAAATGTATCTGGCCTTTAGCAGTACTTTTACAGTTACATGTTTAGGGACAGTTACGTGTTTAGCTGTTACATGTTGGTGCACTGGTCCCTCAGCCTACAGCACAACACCCCCTTAACTGTTAAAAACAGATTGTGGGTCCTGCCCCTGGGTTTTTTGAGTCAGTACTGTTTGTGGCCTGAACATTTACATTTCTACTATCTAGACCATGTTTTGAAAACTAGTGTCTCATTATGAAAGAATGGTTTCCTTTAACAGTCATAATTATTCCCCATAGTCATGCAAAGAGAGGTTATAGTTTCATACACCCTTTCTAAATGTGACTGGCTTACTAAACCAGAGTCAGTCCTTGTTGACTGTTCTGGCTTTGTTCAAGGGCCATCCATGATCGTGAGGGTATCTACCACTTGGCATATGCAAATGGGTTGTACTTATTTCCAAGTAAGCAACCATCTCAAATAGAGAAGATTCTCATGGCCAAAAAATACATTTTGGAGTTTGATGTGTTAATTGAGTTTTTTTAATTTAAAGGTTAAATATTAAAAAATCATGGATTATTATAACAATTAATATAACATAATTATTATAATTAACAATAAATATTAAATAAATTACCTAATATCTAAAGGAAAGATTTCATGAATTATATCTAATCTTAAAATTGTACATATAAATACTTATTTCACTTGGAAAAATTAGAAGTGATATTATTATTATAAGCTTAGTGTATCATTATGGAAATCTGTGTATATAGAGGATTCACCTGAATATGTACTGACAAATACATATGCACGCATATACCTATTACTTTGTGAGACAAATTTCACTTAGTCAGTAGACAAGGATCCTCTTGGCTCACGAATTCTGGGATTACCATAGCAAGCCTTACTAAGACCTACATTTTAATTTCAGAAAGTAGCCACTTTTTTGGACATAATGACGTATACCTTTAATCCCACAACTTGGGAGGCAGAAGCAGTCAGATCTCTGAGTTATTTGCTAGCCTCGTCTACACAGTGAGTTCCAGAATAACCAAGGCTATATACGTGAAAGCCTGTCTCAATAAACAAACAGAAGTTAGCCACTTGCTTGTCAATGTTCTCCAGAGGAGCTTATTGGATCGTTGGGTCTGTTGGTATTGTGTTTCACTGTTGACAGTATAGAAATAAAAATGCTTCCTGCTTTTATAGGAATGTTTTGTTTTGTTTTGTTTTTTAGGCAAGTCGTTGGTTATGGAAAAAAGTGAAACCCCAACCTCCTCCTTCTGGCTTACCTCCTTGTCCTCGGCTTGGACATAGCTTCTCTTTATATGGTAACAAATGCTATTTGTTTGGTGGCCTGGCAAATGAAAGTGAAGATTCAAATAATAATGTTCCCAGGTATGCTCTTTAATAGAACAAATGCTTATTTAGGGTTTAGGTTAAAGTATTTTATCTTTAGTTATTATAAGGTTAAACACATTTTTATGTATTTGTGTTTTTCAGTCCTTAGAAAGTACTTTCAAACTGTCATTTCTAATCAGAAATCATCTTGTTAAATTGATTCTTGTATAATTGATTATGCCAGTGTATTAGTTTGTCTTGAGCTATAATTTATATTCAGTGAGTTATACACAAATACTGTTGTGGGTTATTAATATTTACTATTGTTTTATCTTTTAGTTAAACAGTGGTTATTCCTAAACCAGCTGTATACCCAAATCACCACACAGAGACTAAGATTTATTTAATTAACCTAGAGCACAATGCTGGGCAATAGTTACTCCATCCTAAATCTCCAAGCCCTCATAGTTTCCTACCATTAAGATTTCACCCATTATACTTGCTTTTAGTCATATTTTAGGTCCAGTTCATCTCTCCTCATGGTTCCAAGTCCTGTCCTGCTGATCTCTCTCTCCTACTCCTATTCGCTTCCTTCTCTCCTCCGGACCAGGATGTCCCACCCTGTTCTCTCCATTGCACAGCACTGGCTGGTTATTTTATTGAAAATACAGAGAACAAATGGTAGCATGTTTACACAAACTTGAGACAGGTGATGCTTAGAATAAACATCATGATGCAATGTCAGGATTGAAACCAGAGAGTGGGGGAGAGAAATCAGCATGTGAATGAACAAGGGTAAATTGTATACATTCCACAAGAACATTATACCAACACAATACAAAAAAAATAACATGGGGGGCTGTTTTTTATATTCTTAATAGATTTTTGGTAGGTGTGGTAGGCAGGCTGTGAATTTTAGGCCAACCTGTTCTATTTTTTTTAGATGTAAATTGAATTAATTAATAAGAATTTAATTTAAAGTTTAAAAAAACAAAAAATAAATATGTTGTCAACTTTATCACAATAATGTACCACTTTTTTTTTTAGAACTAGCTACATGATTTTATTTTTATTTTTCTTTATTAATTACACTTTACTCACTTTGTATTACCCCCTCCGTGGTTCCCTCCCTCCTCCAGTCCCAATCCCTCCCTCCACCCTCTGCATGCATGCCCCTCCCCAAGTCCACTGATAGGGGAGGACTTCTTTTCCTTCCTTTATTCTCTTTTTTTTTTCGAGACAGGGTTTCTGCATGTAGCCCTGGCTGTCCTGGACTTGCTTTGTAGACCAGACTGGCCTCAAACTCACAGAGATCTTCCTGCCTCTGCTTCCCCTGGTGCTGGGACTACAGGTGTGTACCACTGCACCAGGCTCGGTTGGCCATTATCTTGATTTTAGGAATTTTTGTCATTTCTTTTTATGGACAGGGACTCAATATGTAGCTCAGGCTAGCCTTAAATTCACAGTAATTCACCTATCTCAGTCTCCTAAATACTAGGATTGCTGGTGTGATCCATCATGCCTGTGAAATTCTTTTATGCTAAAATTTGATCTTATCTGGGTATGATGGCTATGCTTTTAATTCCAGCCCTTGAGAAGCAGAGGCAGACACACTTGGTGAGTTTGAGGTCAGCCTGGTCTACATAGCGAGACCCTGTCTTTAAACAAGCAAGCAAACAAACAAAACTTGATCTTTGTGATGTACATTTATTATTTTTCTTTTTGCTTTGTTTGACATTGCTTACGGTGGATCTTTAGAAATGTTTATTATTTTATGTGTTTGGATGTTTTGTCTCTATGTGTGTCTGTACATGTATGTCTGGTGCAAATAGAAGCCAGAAGAGGGTTTTGGATTCCCTGGAACAATTGGTTGTGGACTCCGTGTGGGTCCTCTGGAAGAGCATCCGGTGCTCTTATCTACTAAGCTATCTTTGCAGTGCTAGGGTGGGTCTTTTTAAATAACTGTTTTACTAAATACTTTATGTATGTGGTACTTTCCTTATTTCTCCCTTTTTACATTTTATTTTGGTTTATTGTTTTTCTCTCTTTCCCTTTGTTATATCTTCTAATTCTGTTTCACTAGCTGTTCAGAAATTATCACACTTAAACTGAAATTGTCTTGTCATTTTGGGAACAAGTTGGTATTTTGCTGTTATCGTTGGTATAAATGCCATATGGACTTCCGTGTTATTTGATCATTATATAAAGTCACTGAAACATATATGAAGTTTCAGCAGCCTCTCTTTTTCTTTCATTTTTTTTCTTTCATTTTTTTCTTTTCTTTGATTCACCCAAAACAATTCACATTTACAAAGGTTAAAGGAGTAAAATACCCATGGACACACACACACACACACACACACACACACACTTCAAAGTTGTAGGCATTGTGCAGCATCACCCTTAAATATCTCAGCACGCCTCTTTTAGAAGTCCTCCCATCCCACCCAAGAAAGAATTTCTCAGTGTGACAGCCCTGGCTGTCCTGTAACTTGCTTTGTAGACAAGGCTGGTCTTAAACTCTGCCTGCCTCTGCTCTGGGAGTAGTAGGATTAAAGGTGTGTGCTGCCACACAGGCTGTAAGTGCTTCTTTTTAATTATGTGTGCTTAGGAGTGTTTGTGTGGGTGTGTGCATACGGGTGTTAATGCCCAATGAGGCCAGAGGTGTTGGTGCTCCCTGGCGTGGAGTTACACATGTTTGTAGGCCACCTGAAGTGGGTGATGGGAACTGAACTCACATCCTTTGGAACAGTGGTATGTGTTCATAATCACTGAGCCATCTCTCCAGTCCCTAGACTTTGAATTTTATGTTCTAAATGTTTTGGTTTTTCCTCTCATACTTGAGTAAACTATTAGGAAGCTGAATTGGTTGTTAAAAATGACATTTTGGAATTGGGAGATAGTTTAGCAGGTTAAGCTTTTGTCATGCAAGTTTGAGGACCTTGCGTTTGGATGCTCAGAGCCCAAATAAAGAGCTGAGTGTGTATAGAGGCCATCATGTAATCCCAGCTAAAAGGAGGCAGAGACAGGAAAACTCTGGGCAAGACTAGCCAAAACAAACCAAGTTCCAGGTTCAGGGACAGACTGCCTCAACTATAAAAGGCAAAGACTGATTGAGAGGGACACCATCCTCTTGCTCACACATGTACACACATATAAGCCCAAGTGCATGATACCACATGTACATGCTTTCTCAAAAAACAAACAAACAAAAAAAAAAGAAACAAAAAAAAAACCAAAAGTCTCTGTGTTAAAAAAAATATGTCACAGATTAATGACAGTTTTTCCAGAAGAGAAGCTGGTTAAGGCAAGTTTAATGCCAGTTTCTAAATTAAAGACTCTCTTTAGGACATTGCTATGACATTTATAGTGTGCTAAAAAGGTTGCAAAGCAGTACTTATTCTATATAGCAATGTCTTCAAATATTTGCCAAAATAATTGTCCATAATAATTGTTTTTGTTGGGCTGGAGAGATGGCTCAGCGGTTAAGAGCATTGGCTGTTCTTCCAAAGGTCTTGAGTTCAATTCGCAGCAACTGCTTGGTGGCTCATAACCATCTATAGAGAGAGATCTGGTGCCCTCTTTTGATGTGTAGGCATACATGCAGTGTAGAATACTGTGTAAATAATAAATAAATCTTAAAAAATAATTGTTCTTGTTATCTAGTGCTGTATAATAAACTAATGATGCAAAATAATGACTTATTGTGCTCATAAATTCTATAAATAAGGAAATCAGGGTGCAGAAGGGATGGCTGGACCCTATAGTGGAAAAGCTGGGTGGTTATCCCCACATCTTATAGTTAGCTGAGGTAGCTGAAGGACAGATTCAATTGGGCTATCACCTAACATACCTACATATGGCTATTGTTTTGAGACAAGATCTCATATAGCCCTGGCTGGCCTTGGACTCTGTAACCAAGAATAACTTTAATCATTCTGCTATACCTTCTGACTGCTGAGATTATAGGTATGTGCCACCGTGCTTGGGATATACATTGCTGAAGACTGAACTCAGGGACTCGTACTTGCAAGCACTCCACCAACTGAGCTATATACCCAGATACCCAGGTGGCCTTCTCAGAAGGTGGTTGAGAGTTCTGCAAGCAGTGTTATAGTAAGAATATGTTGGCCTTTTACAGCCCAGCCTTTACACACCTTGTTCAGTCACAGACCATCCTAAAATAAAGAGGAGAGGAACCTTATTTCCTGAGGGAAAGAATGTCAGATATTTGGGACTGTGTTTTAAAGCCATCACTGTTGTCATTGATGAGAATTTTGGCCAGATGTTTAATATCTTCACTGTTAAATCGTAACAGGTAACTGGGACATAGTAGAGTTTGATAAACGTGTACGTAATGAATGAGTATCAAAGTTATGCTTGCTTAGTGCCTTTCTGTACTCTGTGAAGTGTTTTTTACAATAAGCATCTGATAGACATTTTTAAATAAAAGCGTGCATGTTTGTGTGTGTGTTTATATTTTGAGTTTATTGCACCATGTGCATGTAGGTGTCTATAGAGAACAGAAAAGGGCATCAGATCCTCTAACTGGAGTTCAGGTGGTTGTAGCCACCAGATGTCATTACTAAGAACCCAACTGAGTTCTCTGCCAGAGTGGTCAATGCTCTTAGCTGCTAAGCCATCTCTTAAGCCCCCTTTTCTTTTTCTTTCCTCCTTTTTTGAGATACTGTGTTTCTGTGTGGTTCATACTGACCTGGAACTTATGGTCCTCCTGCTGCAAACTCTATGCACTTTGTGTGGCTAGCATATGTTATAATTATGAACCAAAATAAAGAGAAAATACAACATATATACAATTTGAACATCTTCATTTCTTTTGTGATACCCTAGGTATTTAAATGATTTCTATGAGTTGGAACTACAGCATGGTTCTGGGGTTGTGGGCTGGAGCATTCCAGCCACCAAAGGCATTGTACCTTCTCCAAGAGAATCCCATACCGCTATTATATATTGTAAAAAAGACTCTGGGAGTCCTAAGATGTATGTTTTTGGTGGAATGTGCGGTGCTCGGCTGGATGACCTATGGCAGCTTGATTTAGGTAATCTTAATTTGATTCAGGAATTTCTTATGATTGGTAAAGAAAAATTTAAATGTATTTAAAATATTTTTGTTTTAAATAGTTGTCAAGTTGCACTAAGATTATAGTCATCCTTTATAGTCTTAGGAACAGCTGGGACATGATCAATCATTTTGAACAAGTGAATGCTCAATTTATGGTATTAACTTTCCTGTGTTTCCTTTGACATTACCATAGGTCCTGGTTTGTCTAGAACAGTCCAGCTTTATGCTTATTGCCCTGTGTAATTGTCAGTAGTACCCGTTCTTACTCAGAGAAGTGTCTGGTTGGCTTGCTTATTTGTATGGTTGTCCTCCTGCCTTTGGGAAGTGTGGCTTTCACAACATTGCTAACCAGCGGGAAACTTCAGGGTAGCTTTGTCTGAAGGGATTACAGAAGTCACTGGAAATATGCTTCCCATCTTTGGCTGTCTTATTTAAAATGTAAAACTCAGAAATAATATTTATAACTCAAAGTTAATGATGCTGAAAACACACCTCTTCAGTATAAATGTTAAGTTCAAATGAAAATAGATTTCTGATTGGCAGTTTTTGTGGTGTGGAAATGTTTAAGATGAAATTCAGGTAACTGATTTGCAATATTTTAGCTTTATTTTGATAAGTACTTCTTTTGTTCTGTTTTTAAGAGTGTAAAGTGAGATGAGATGATTCACTATTATTAGATCAAGGTCCTGATTTGCTTATTTTTATTTCTAGAAACTATGTCATGGTCCAAACCAGAAACTAAAGGCACAGTACCACTTCCACGAAGCCTTCACACAGCCAGTGTTATAGGAAACAAGTACGGCTTTCTTTTGTTTGCTTTTTTATTGTTATGTTTACCAACTTGAAAATTCAGACAAAGTCAAGATGCTGCTTTCTCAGATTACCTGACTTAACAGTACCTCCGTGCGCTGATCACAGCTGAAGTCTGTGGGAGCTGAACGCCTCTACACCGCTTTCTTTTAATACTATCTGTGAAACTTACTTAGCTTCACATGCCTTTCCTGACATGGAGAGGACCTAAGTGTCAGCAGGTACTGCCAAGCTGCCTTGTCGTTTGTCTGGTTAGATTCCCAGCATCTGCATGGTGGCTCACATCCACCAGTGACCCCAGTTCCTAGCTTCCTCAGGCACACCTGCGATGCATATGCACACTTGCAGGCAAAGCACCCACACACACAAAATAAAATATATCTTAAAACATTTTTAAAAGAATTGTTTTTTTCATTGGCAGCATGAACGTGGGAGAGCGGGGCCTAAGAGGAAGGGCGACTAAAATCTCATGCAGTAGCCTCTCTGTTCAGAGCACAGACAGCTTGTACTGTGAGGTTAAGAAGAATCACATGAGCAAGGTGTTCAACCACAAGGACAAGCCACATGTGGCAAGAACATGTTTTTCCATACAGGCATATGAATAACAACAGCCGAAGTAAACTCCTATCTGCTACACCTGGGAGGAGCATGAAAACACATTCCAAGAACAGTTCTGTGTTTTGAAGAAACTGAGGTCACAAGACTCTTGCTTTCTTGGAGTTTTCTCACAAGCACTCAGAATTCTCACACAAGAACCTTTGGGTGCTGGGGAAAAGTTTAAGGTTATTTATGTATCCGTTTTAACAGTGCTAGAGTTTGAACTGAGCATCTTACACATATCTCGTAAGTGTCCTACTACAGAGCTACACCACCAAACTTTTTTTAATTTGAAGACTAAGTTTCACTTACTTGCCTAGGCAGGCCTCAAACTTGTGATCTTCTTGCTTCAGCCTCCCTGAGTAGCTGAATTGTAAGCCTGCACCATCGGGCTTGTTCAGGCATGATTTTACCACAGCCTCCCATGTAGTTGGGACTATAGGCATAGCCACACCAGGCTTAAAGTTGCTACGTTTAAGTAATAGCAGTGACCAAAGTTACCTGAAATTTCATCTTTTTGGGCCACTGTCTTAGTTACTTCTCTGTTGATATGATTAAAATTCTCTGACAAAAGCAATTTAGGAAAGGGGTTAATTCTGCTTGTAGTTTGAAATGATAGTCCACCATTTTGGGGAAGTCACTGCTTGCAGTCAGGAAGCACAGGTAGATGGATACTTGTCTTACTGTGTTACCTAGAGCACTGGTTTTCAAGATTGTAGTTCAGACATTCTTCACTTCAACTTACTTGACAGTATAATTTTGAGTTAGTAGTGCTTTATTAAATCGTCAACTTTTTTGTTGTTGTTGTGTGGCCTTAATTAAACTCGGGCTCAAATAAACCCCCTCTTTGCCTAGCTTCCTAAGTACCTGTTACTTCAGACGTCTACCACCCTTTTAAAATAATTTTCTTATTTATATAATACTACCTTTACATTGTGGCGAGTGAGTAGTTCTAAAGTTTTAAGTCAACCAATAAATTTAAGTTCATTCTTAGTATTTCTGTCAAAAAGTAAAATTAAACCACTTACTGTAGGTTTTTGGTTTTCTTTTGTTGTCTAGGATGTACATTTTTGGTGGATGGATTCCACACAAGGGTGAAAGTACTGAGACTTCACCTCATGATTGTGAATGGAGATGTACCAGCTCATTTTCTTACCTAAATCTAGGTGAGTCTTTTGAAACTTACTCATTAACACGATGTCTGAAAAACTAATTTTTGTTACTTTGCTGCTTACAAGCAATAGCAGAGTCATGGAAAGCCTTTCATTTTAGATACAGCAGAGTGGACTACTCTAGTGTCAGATTCTCAGGAGGATAAGAAAAACTCAAGGCCGAGACCAAGAGCTGGACACTGTGCTGTTGCAATTGGCACTCGTTTGTATTTTTGGAGTGGAAGAGATGGCTACAAAAAAGCACTTAATAGCCAAGTCTGCTGCAAGGATCTTTGGTATCTTGATACTGGTAGGTAAGAGTACTTAATTAAGTTCTACCCATAGGAACTCAGTATCTGTTTTCAAAGACAAAGTGAATATAACTTCCTCTTTCTCTTACAATTAGAAATGAGTGGAAGAAATATAGAACTACTCACCACGCTGAAGAGTATATTAATTCCTCTCTCCTTGAATGTAGAGTGGATTTAAAGATGCCTTCCCAGAGCATGGGGGGAGAAAACTGTTCTCACTCTACTGAACAGGCCTTGCAAGCACCTAAAGAGATTAAGATTGGTAACAACTAGTGACAAATTTTATTCCTATCACTTATACCCTGATAAAAACACGTAGCAAGAAATATGCCACCCCTGTTGGTACTTTCCTGTATCCCAAGTACAATGGTAGAAAAATACCAGACAACCTCAGATTGAAGGACATTCTAGAGCATTTATAAATAGTTTCATCAAAAGTTTTAAAGTGGGGGCGAGCAGATGTCTTATCAGGTGATGCTACTCCCTGTCAGGCTTGTCAGCACCTTTTGGATATATGCCTAGGAGTGGTATAGCTGGATCTTGAGGAAGCGCTATTCCTAATTGTCTGAGAAAGCACCAGATTGATTTCCAAAATGGTTATACAAGTTCACATTCCCACATCCTCCCAATTGAGGAGGGTTCCCCTTTCTCCACATCCTCTCTAGCATGTGTTGTCACTTGAGTTTTTGATCTTAGCCATTCTGATGGGTGTAAGGTAAAATCTCAGGGTCATTTTGATTTGTATCTCCCTGATGGCTAAGGATGTTGAGCATCTCTTTAAGTGTTTCTCTGTCATTCAGTATTCCCCTATTGAGAATTCTCTGTTTAGCTCTGTATCCCATTTTTAAATTGGATTACTTGATTTGTTGCTTTTTAACTTCTTGAGTTCTTTCTATATTCAAGATATTAGCCCTCTGTCAGATATAGGGTTGGTGAAGATGCTTTCCCAGTCTGTAGGCTGTTGTTCTGTTCTGACAACAGTGTCCTTTGCTTTACAGAAGCTTTTCAGCTTCATGAGGTCCATTTATTGATTGTTGCTCTTAGAGCCTGTGCTGTTGGTGTTCTGTTCAGGAAGTTGTCTCCTGTGTCAATGAGTTCATTACTCTTCCCCACTTTTTCTTCTAACAGGTTTAGTGTGTCTGGTTTTATGTTAAGGTCTTTGATCCACTTGGACTTTAGTTTTGTGCAGGGTGATAAATATTGATCTATTTGCATTTTTCTACATGTGGACATCCAGTTAGACCAGCACCATTTATTGAAGATGCTGTTTTTTTTCCATTGTATGGTTTTTGCTTCTTTGTCAAAAATCAAGTATCCGTAGGCGTGTGGGTTTATTTCTGGGTCTTCTATTTGAGTCCATTGATCCACCATTGTGTTTCTATTCAGCCTGCTTTTTTGTGGAACCTTGTACCACCAATCCATGGATGGCACTACCCGAAATGGGCTGGGCCCTCCCCTGTTAATCACTAAGTAAGAAATTGCTCTTACAGCTGGATTTTATGAGGGCATTTTCTAAGTTGAGGTTTGCTCCTTTTAGATGAATCTAGCTTGTGTCAAGTTGACATAAAACTAGCCAGTGCATGAATAATACAAGGATAAGCTTAAACATAAAAAATTATAAGAAAAAATAAGTATGTATAAAAGTTTCTCTATGGAATATATCAATTTTTATTTTCTACTTAAAAGATATGTACCTTTAAAGGGTTAAAAGAAACCACTGGATCTGTAATTTTTTTTTTTTTATTAAAGGCCTTGGACACCACTATTCATTTAAAAGTAACTATATTGCCTGTAGTTTTTTGAGTAGGATTGAGGCCTCATAGTATTTGCTTTGACTTTGGCGTGTTGATTGTTGTTGCGTGTGTTCAGCTCATATTTATACAGTTAGGATAGTGACACCTCATGGGTGTAGCTCCTGACATTGCTGGGAGACATAGTTCCAAAGCAAACTCCCCGACCCCCTGGCTTTTATGATCTTCCTGTCTCCTCATCTGCAGTGTTCCCTGAGCCTTGGGTGCAGGAGTTGTCTTAAAGACTGATGAGAATGTGAGAAATAGTCCTCACCCAGGGGATAGAGCACACCAGTTTTTTGGTTTTTTGTTGTTGTTGTTGGTTTTTTATCCAACACACAGAATGGTCAGCCCTGAAAAAATATATACAAGTACCTTTTTACAGACCGAGCAGGTTATGTTTAGGAATATACATGTATATACATATGAATATGTGCATGTAACACAATTCACAAGATATTTCTCTCTTTCTTCATCCTACACAGATTTCCATATAGTGATATGGAGGCTAGAGACCAAGTCCTGCAGGAGAGGCGTGAGCTTGTCTTCCTGAGCCTTGCCTACTCATTCATAGTTTGCATTTTCATCTATTTTGGAGGACTTTGGGGGAGGGGTTGGTTTTTTAAGACAGGGTTTCTCTGTATAGCCTTGCCTCTCCTGGAACTCGCTCTATAGAGCAGACTGGCCCTCGAACTCAAAGATCTGCCTGCCTCTACCTCCGAGTGCTAGGACTAAAGGTTTGCACAACTACAGCCCGCCTCTATTTTTTTTTTCAAACTATAATTCTATTTTTCTTTGTGTGTGTACCATTTTTTCACTATTTATTCATTTATTGATGGACATTTAGTCTGATTCATTTCCTTGACATGATGAATAGAGCAGCCGTAGACATAGCTGAGGAGAATGGCTGTAACAGAATGTGAAGTCCTTTTGGTAGATGCCTAGGAGTGATAGAGCTAGACGAGGTGGGAAGTCTATCTGTAGCCTTTTGAGACCCCCCATTTATGTCCATAATGCTAGTGTCAGTTTACATTCTCACTAGTAGTGAGTAATTGTTTCTTCCCACATCATCTTCAGTGTTTGTTGTTTTCTTGGTGAAAACCATTCTGACTGGGGTAAGACAGAATCTCAGGGAATCTCAGCATTTCCCTGATGGCTAAGGATGTTGAACATATTTTAAAATATTTATTAGCCATTTTATTTCCTCTTTTGAAAATTCTCTATGCTCAGCCCATTTTTTAAATTTAGTTGCTTTCTTGTTATTAGTTGTGGTGACAACTACATGGTGACTTGAGGTATCTTCCCTACATTTTTCCAGGTTTCAGATTAGGTTTTTTTTTTTTTTTTTTTTAAGATTTATTTATTTTATGTGTTTTGGTGTTTTGTCTACGTGAGGGTGTCACATCCCCTAGAACTGGAGTTACAGACAGTTGTGAGCTGCCATTTGGGAGCTGTGCATTGACCCATCTGGAAGAGCAGCCAATGCTCCTAACTGCTGAACCATTTTTGTAGCTCAACTTTTGGTTCTTTTTAGCTTGACTTTCCTACACCCCCTGCCTCTAGAAGCATTTAGAATTTCTTATTTTTATTCTTGTAGTTTTTAAATTTTGTGATGCTTCTCAGTAACCCCCTTCTCCTTCTCTTTTCTCCTCTCCCTTTCCCCCCAGAAAAGGAAGTGCCCTCCCTCTCTATCACCCCTCCCCAGTACATCAAGTCACATTAGGACTGAGCATATTCTCACCCCCTGAAACCAGGAAAGGCAGCCCTGCCTGGGGGAAGTGATCCAAAAGCAGGCAATAGAATCCATGTTAGAAACAGCCCCCTCTCCCAACACACACACACACACACACACACACACACACACACACACACACACACTTTCTCTCACACTCACCAGGTAGCCCACATGAAGATCCAAGCTGCCCATCGGCCACGTTATGTGCAGGGTACCTAGGTCCAGACCATGCATGCTTCTTAGTTGATGTCTCAGTCTCTGTAAGCCCCCATGGGTCTGGGTTGTCTCTATTGGTCTTCTTGTGAGGTTCCTGTCCCCTAGAAGTCCTTCCATCTTTCCCCTAACACTTCCACAGGACCTCCAGAACTCTGCCCCATCCCTTAGCTATTAGTCCCAGCATCAGTCTTGATGATCTGCCTTGGCTGGAGCCTCCCAGATGCTAGTCCTGTCTGCAAGCACAGCAGAGCATCATTAATAGTGTCAGAGGCTGGCTCTCCACTGCGGGGTTAGTCTCAGGTTGGGGTGGTTATTAGGTGGACATTCTCTCAGTCTTTGTTCCCTCTTTATTCCTGCACTTCTTGTAGGCAGAGTAATTTTTGGATCAAAGGTTTTTTTTGAATGAGTTGTTGTTTCCCTCCCTCCACTGCCTGGCTAGGAGGTGGTCACTTCAGTCACCATTCCCTCCACCCCCCACTTAGGGGTCTCAGCTAGAGTCACATCCATGTCCTCCCAGGAGCCTACCCTGTTGCAGGCCTCCAGCTTGACAAAGAGATGCCTCCCCCTCAATTTCTCTTCTTGTTCCCAGCCCTCTCACCTGCACCCCACCCCCCACTTTCCCCATATCTGATCCGTATCTTTGTTTCCCTCCCCATTCCATCTCCTGCCCAGTTCCCTCTCTTCATCCACTTCTGCTGTCTATTCTATTTCCTCTTCTTAGTGACATTCTAGTACCCTCCCTTGGGCCCTCGTTGTTACTTAGCTTCTTTGGGTCTGTGGATTGTAGTATGTTTATATTGTACTATATGGCTAATGTTTGTTTATAAGTGCCATGTGTGTTTTTCTGGGTTGGGTTACCTCACTCAGGATGATCTTTTCTAGTTCCATCCATTTGCCTGCAAATTTCATGATTTCTTTGTTTTTAATGGCAGAGTAGTATTCCATTATGTAAATGTACCACAGTTTCTGTATCCATTCTTCAGTTGGGGACATCTGGGTTGTTTCCAGTTTCTGACTATTACGAATAAAGCCACTGTGAACATGGTTGAGCAAATATCCTTGTTGTATGGTGGAGCATCTTTTGGGTATATGCCCAGGAGTGGTAATAGTTGAGGTAGAACTATTCCCAGTTTTCTGAGAAAGCGCCAGATTGCTTTTCAGAGAGTTTGGTTTGTTTTTCAAAGAAGTTTTATTTTTATTATTTTGAATTATTTGTAGGTATGTCTGAATTTTAGTGTTTCAGTGCAGGTGCCTGTGGAAGCCAGAGGCATCTGATCCCCCAGAGTGGGAGCTACAATGATTGTGACCCACCTGAGAAGTGTGCTGGGGAGCAAACTCAGGTTCTTTGGAAGAATAGCAGGTGTTTCTAGCCATCTCTTCAGCTCTCGAGATCTGGCGGTTTGGTTTGGTTTGGTTTGGTTTGGTTTGGTTTGGTTTGGTTTGGTTTGGTTTGGTTTTTCAAGACAGAGTTTTCCTGTGTAGCCATGGCCATCCTGGAAATCACTCTGTAGACCAGGCTGGCCTCGAACTCCCAGAGACCCGCCTGCCTCTGCCTTTTGAGTGCTGGGATTAAAGGAGTATGCCACCACCCACCGCTGGAGATCTATTTTTAATCTGTTGTGCTGAGTACTCAGTAGGCTTTTGATGCTGAAAACTCAGATTGTTTAGTTTCTCAGAAATTTATTTCACGATTTACATTTTAAAAAATTCTCTCTATAGCTTCTACCTTAATATGTGTTTGTTTTACTCCCTGGACTTTCCAAATGTTTACTTTTCTTTACTTTGAGAAATATAAATAGCTTGGATTATCAATGGGATAATGGAGGACTTCATACGGAATTGAAGGAACTAAGTATTCAAGGCCATATGGGTCTACAAACTCACCTTGAAGCATGAAAGTAACCGTAGGCAAAATGCATTAACAAATGTGTCCTGCTGTGTTTCAGCACACTTGTTTAGGAAACAAGCTTGCACTGGCTATGGCCTCTTGGCCATATGTTACTGATCCTTAGTAAAAAGATATATTTGAGGCTGGAGATGACTCAGCCATTAAGAGCACAGGCTGCTCTTGCAGAGGACCAGAGTGAATTCCCAGCACCCACATGCCTCACTAACATCTGTAACTCAGTTCCCGGGGTCTAACACCTTCTGCTGGCTTCTGTGCACCAGACATGCTTACAGTGCAGATACACATGAAGGCCAACACCTATATATGTAAGATAATGATTAAAATATTTTAAATAAAGTAGATAATGGACTTGCTCTGGGCGGCTGAGCCACAGGCTTGTAGACTGCAAATCCCAGAGATGGATTTTCTTAGCTGTGCAGAGCTTGGACATCCTTCCTCTCAGTTGTGGAGCTCCAGAGAAGGCAGGACCAAAGCTACTATATTCCTGATCTCAGATCTTAACAGGCTGTTACTTGTTGTGGAAATATGTAGCAATATTTTATACCAAGGTGATATGCTTTTGGTAATACTGATTTTGTTAAAGGGCTATTAAAATTTCAAAAAATATCCAAGTTATTTTTGCTAACAGCAGTATTTCTACCATATTTGGTGTTGGTTGAAGATCAGTTCTTTAAGTTAAAAAAAAATAAAATTTCTAAAGGTAAAATAACAAAGCAGTAATTCACATAGTACTTTTTCACATCTCCTTAGGGTTTTAGATGAGATTAATCATGTTCAGGATAGACCTTCAGCCTTTTATTTTTAAACATTCTTTTTTTATTCTGAATCTAATTACTCAAGTAGTTTGGTATTAGATTGTTTATTTATATAAGAAACTAAATACATCAGAGCTGAAAACTACTTTGATTTGACTGGATCTAAGCTTTGTTTAAGTATATTCAGTAAACAGGTGCAATGTTCATTGCTGGTGTTCTTTCAAAGCTCCTACACACCAAAACTGTTGGCAAATTATTGGTGCATTTGAAACTAAAGGCATTATGTGAATATTTTTCTTTAGAGAAACCTCCAGCACCATCACAAGTCCAGCTGATCAAAGCTACTACCAACTCTTTCCATGTCAAGTGGGATGAAGTGCCTACAGTTGAGGGCTATCTTTTGCAGTTGAATACTGACTTGCCATATCAAGCTGCATCGTCTGACTCTTCAGCAGCACCAGATATGCTAGGTAAAATATGTGTCATGCTTAAGAATGCATGCTTAGGAATGCTAATGTGCTTTGTAAACACACTGCAGAAAATCCTGTGACTATGCTTGGCTCAGGAAAGTGCATGAATGTTAAGATGTCCTGGTACATAGCTGTAAGCCATCTCTCTTGAGTTTCAGTTCTGAACCCTGGCTTATCTCACTATCTGATATGGCAGAACATAGGACATAGGGTTCATTCTGGTGCACTATTAAAACTGATAGTACTTGAGTTCCAGGCGTGTTTTTAATTAGCTTTCAGAAATATTTCACTGTTTGTATCTTTTTTCCAAAAGTGTTTTGAATTGAACAGGTCCTTGGAAAGTAACTAAACTTGTTACAGTCTTCAGGAAGGATTTCAGTAACTATTAAGTAAACTATTAAGAAAGCAGATACACTGGATAAAGATGTTATTTTAATCTTTAACATGCACATTTAAAATATTTACAATGTATTTTATGGATGCTAATTAAGAGCATATCAGTGTGAACTTTCTTATCCCTACAGGAGGCAGGATGGACCCTCACAGACAAGGCAGTAATAGCATTCTTCATAACAGTGTAAGTGGAAGCATCTGTGATAAAAATGCATTTTTATGGCTTTAGTCCCAGTTTTTATTGAATTTTTTTGCATATTACTCTGAATAAGGGTCATTATTCCTCACTTCAGGTGAGACTCATCTCTGAGATGTCCAGGCAGCCCTGTCCACAGGGCTGGGGATGGAGGCCAGTGTTAGGGTGCTTGCAGCATACATAAACCCTGAATTTCTAGCACCACGTAAATAAAAGGAGAAAATTAGGTTCCACAGGCTTATGATGACAGAGCCTAAATTCAAAAGTCTAGTTGCATTGAAGATAGTCAGGCCTGGTGCATGCCTGTAATCCCAGCACTTGAGAGGTGGGCCAGAAGGTTCAGAAGGTCAGGACCAGCCTACGATATATTGTTGAGTTCAGAGCCAACCTGAGCTACACGAAACCCGCTTTCAACCAAAAAATTCTTTTATATGTTTATATTGTGACATTCCTAGATGTCACACATGTATTTGTTCTGAATCTATATAATAGGATTTAAGTACATTTTCATATTTTAATGTGTATTTCATTTACCAAAGAATAACAGTAGCCAAACCGAACAATTTCTGTGAGTTTACTTGTTCTGTATGAAGTGATTATGGTAAGTATTTGTATAAGCTAATGGCTGAGCTTACTGAAAATTCATTATTTTCATCTGGGAAACTGCTCCTGATAGCAGTGATCCTTTCCACAGGAAGGGATGAGGTATAGTCCTGTTCTGAGCATGACTGAGAGTCAATAGTATGAGAAATACTGTAGTTGCTCAGGAAGGAGATACTACAAGTTTTGCTCATACAGTTTGTGAGCAGCCTATTTTAATAGACTATATTTATATATTTATACATGTGTCATGAATATTGCATGTTATGTGTGTCTGTGTATACCATGTTAGATAATACAGTTGCCCCTTCCTGTTCTTGGATCTTGCTTAAAACAACTCCTTTAAACCATTCCAGCTTTCTTTTAGTATCTACTTATGTCTTCTAAATGAAGTTCTAGCTGGGTGTTGTAGCCCACCTTTAATCTCAGCATTCAGGAGGCAGAGGCAGGAGGATCTCTATGAGTTTGAGGACAGCCTGGTCTACAAAGTAAGTTCCAGAACAGCCAGGGCTACATAATAAGACACTGTCTCAAAACACAAACAAAGCAGAACAATAGGTAAAACTCTTACTCCACCATGCCTTTACCTTCTAGCTTTTCATCACTCCCATTTGATGAGCAGATGAGGAAACTGGAGCGGTGGCGAGTGCTTGTGATCCCAGTACTAGGGGAGGTAGGAGCAGGGGTGGGGGAACCCGCTGGCCAGCTAGACAAGCCTCTTTGGCAAATTCTAGGCCAGTGGGAGACTGAAAACACAAGGTGACAGCATTCCTTAGGAACTACAGCCAAGGTTTCTTCTAGTGTCCACACACATGTGCAGAGATGTTCACATGCATGAACACACTCACACATACAGAAAAAATAATGGAAGATTTGACGACATATCCCTCCTCGACTCTCCCCTCTCCTCCATCCTGGAAATATTTTTAGTTGAGTTGTACTTGATGTTTGTGTTACAATGACGACTTCTTTCCAGATGAGGCATATGTATGTTATTAATGTTGTTCCTTCATATACAACTTTTCTGCTCCCGCCATTAGCTGCCTCCCTTTTTCATTTCATCTTTTTCTTTATTTTAATTAATTTATATTCAAATCCCAGCATTCTCTTTTCGTCTTTTTCTTTTTGGTCTCCTGGAGCCCTTCTTCATGCTCCAGTTCAGGCTCTCCTAAACTTTTTCAACACACAATACCCACCTTCTTTTTTGTCTTAAGAAAATTTTGCACAATCCAGTATAAAATATACAAATGACAATTATCTGCTAATAATAAATTGTAAATGTATTGTGTGTGTGTGTGTAAGAACACATGGAAGACAGCACCTTAACATCAGGGGTCCTCTGCAGTCATTCTCTACCATGTGTGTTAAGATAGGGTCTCTCTCTGAACCTGAGTCTGTAAATTCAGCCATACTGGCTGGCCAGCAAGCCCCCGGGATCCATCCTCCTGTCTCCACCCCTTTAGCACAAGGGTTACAGGGATGTTCCACCTTATGCAGCTTGTTCACATGAATTTTTATTTGGATTCTAGACAACTGAATCCAGGTCCTCATATTTGTACTGAAAGTATTTTATCAACTGGGTAACCTCCCTAGCCTGACAAATTGCTCCTAAAATAATTATTTGGTATATATACAGTTTTACCATCATTAGAGATAAAAGCAAATTTGCTGCTGATTAGATGGTGTGTGCTGTTTTTCATAAAAATATTTTTATATGAAAAGATTTACATAATCTTTCTTTTCCCCCTCCCTGTCTCTTCTGCCTCAGTCTCCTAAGTAACTGTAATTACATGTCTATACAACCAGGCTTACCATTAGGAAAGTTTTTGACCAAATTTTATTTAATAGCAAATAATATTGATGTTAATATATTGAATATTTATATAGAAAATTCATTCATAGAGAATAATTCATTTGCTGAAATTTTTCTTTTAGGAGTCATCAGATCTTTCATCTGCGTGTCTGATTTGTTTTTTAAAAATTGAATAGGAGGTAACAAAATGGTACAGTAAGTCAAGAACTTTCAGTGCAAGCCAGACCACCAGAGTTCAATCCTAGTACCCACATAGCAGCAGCAGGAGAGAACTGGTTGCATAAAGATATCCTCTGCAATCATGCCATATGTGCACCCACACACATTATACACACAGTCAGTTATAAATTGTTCATAAAGTGTTAAACTGAGCAGTTTTCATGGCCTAGCCCGTGTTACATGAGTATTTACTTGTAATGTTAGCCACCATGTGAAAAAGCTAAACTAAAAATACAGTCTTTGGAACATGGAGATTAAGTGAAAAAATATATCTTAAAATGCTAGTTTAAAGAATAATTCTATAAAAATTAGGGATATAATTTTAACTGTTTTATGTTTTGGTAAGGTTTTTGTTGTTTTGAGAATCTTATTTCGTAGCCTGGGCTAGCCTAGAGTACTAGAACTTCCTGCCCTATTTCTCAAAATACTGGGATTACAGGTGTGCACCACCACTCCCTGTTGGTAAACTTACTTTCCCAAATGGACTTGTAGATTATTTTGCTTGTTTTTTTTTTTACATGTAATTTTATTTCACTGAACATTTCTTGCTATGATGAACTATTTTATTTCTTGTAGGTTAGTGATACAGTAAACAGTGCAAAAACTGAACACACAGCTATGAAGGGAACTTCAGTGAAACACAAACCAGATTTCAGAGCAACAGATTCTAATGCTGGTTTACATTCACCTTTGGCGCCTAATGCTTCTAATAATAACAGTTGTATGACGGATATGCTATGGAAGAATGAAGGTATAAGGTTACATTTTGAATAAAATTAAACCTTTTTAACATTGGTAGGGAACTTTAGAGTTACTAAAAAGTAGACATTAAACACTGTGTGTGTGTGGGCGCGCGCGTGCATGCGTGTGTTTACATGTTTCTGTGTAGTCGAACTCTGACCTTGAACTCAGAGATCTGCCTGCCTCTTCGATTAAAGACATTATCACCCAGCATATATGTGTGTGTGCATGTGTGCCTGTGTGCCTGTGTGCCTGTGCGCTTGTATGTGTGTTGAGGCAAGGTCTTACTGTGTAGCACTGGCTGGACTAGAACTAACAGAGATCCACCTGCCTCTTCCTTGTGAGTGCTAGAATTAAAGGCAAGTACTTATGTTACATGGTTTTGATAATTTTCCTCTTAGTGAAAATCTTGATGACATTGAGGTGACTGTCCCTGTGCTTATTTTCTGTTCACTCTTTAGCTCTATGAGTTTATCTTATTTTTTATTTATCTTATTTCTTTTTCCAAAGTGTTGAGATCTGTGCTTGATATATGGTTGTCACTTAGTAAATAATTGTGTAGCAGGTATCTGAATTAAGGTAATTCAGTTGTTGGAACTGTTAAATCACTTACATTCATTCATAAGACAGCTCACAATTTGGTGATTTTTTTTCTATTTGAATATTCTGTTATATATATTTTTTTAAATAGGATCTTACTTTGACTCCCTTTCTAGCCTAAAACTCATTATTGTAGCTTAGGCTGATGTAAATTTGTTGCAGTCCTCCTGCAATAGTCTGTAAAGTGTTGAGATCCACCATGCCTGGCTATATTTTAATAGTCAGATGCCATTGAAATACATATCAAGTATTGCTTGTGATTTCAGTATCTAAATTATTTTTTAAATTCTTGTATATCCGTGGAATAGAAATTCAGCTTTTTTATTTTAAGACATTGTGGAAGCTGTTCTAAGTCTATAATTATCTCAAGGATTCAAATAAAACAGGATAAACTTTTATTTTGAATCTAAAATAGATTAAAAATACTGTAGAAAGATGCTGTCCGATGCTATTTTCATTGAATTCTTTACCTACGAGGAACAGTTTGTTGGTTTTCACTTTTCTTTTTTTGAGACAGGCTCACTCTGTACTCCAGGCAGGCCTAGAACTCACTTGTCTCCCAGACTAGCTGGCTTTAAGCTCTGAGTGACTCTCATGTCTACCCTTCCAAGTGTTGGGATTATAGGCATGGCTCAATACACCTGGTTCCCGTCTTTCTTGACATAAAGGAATTATTTGCTATAGATAAGCTTGGTTCTAAACTTCCATTTTAAAATTTCTTATTTGTAATTTTCTGTCTTTCAAAGAACTTTATATGTTGAAAACAAGACTTGAGCTTGAAATTTCCAAATCTTCAGTAAAATTGGTACTGAGCAAATGGTAAAGACAGAGGTTGTAGAACACATCCTGAACACTCTGTCAGAGACTGGCCAGTCTTAGGTTACAAGGAATGTGACATTCTTTACATATTGGAAGAGCTGCTGGTGTGTTTCCAGGAGTGGAGGAGTGATAGGATTAGATTTGTGTTCCTTGAAAGCACCCTCTGGCTTTACCAGAGGAAGAGATGGTTTAGGAAATAATTGAAAGACTACTTAGGAGTTCTTTTAGGATTCTCAGACAGATATGCATAAAGACAAACCAGTGGGTAAGATAGAATAGGAAAAAAAAACCTTGAATGCTCATCATATACCTTTATATTATATTAGAAGTATCTTAATTAAACTCCTCAGCTAGTTGGTTATGAGACTTTTTAGCTGGACATCAGATGGACACTGACCTTCATCAAAATGGAAACAGAGGGCTGAGAACCATTAGGGAGAATATTCAACTCTGAACTTAACTTGAGGAACACCAGGCAGTTTAATATATAGGTCTGGAATCTAGGGAGCAGTTATCAGCTGTAAATATAAATGTAGAAATATCTAAAATGTAAGTTCCACAGGAGCAGAGGCCTTGTTGACATGTTGCTAGATTCCCAACAGCCAGTACTGTGCCCAGGTCATACATGCTTGTCTGGTGAGTGATTCGTATTTACAGCATAGGGTACATGCAGGGAGAGGGAAGATCCACTTACGAACACCAGATAGGCTGGCATGGTGGCTCATACCGTGATCCTCTGGGAGGCAGAAGCAGATGAATCTCTGTGACTTCAAGGCCAGCCTAGTCTACAAAGTGAGTTTAGGACAGCCACAGCTATGCAGAGAAATTATGTGTTGGGGGTGGGGGAAGAAAACAGAACACCAGATAGAAAAGGATAAATGTTGGAGGTGGGAGTGGGTTTGTTTGTTTGTTTTCTTTTTGTTTTTGTCTTTTCCTTTATAGTGGGCATCACAGTTTGTGACTCTTTGTATGTATATTTTTACCAGATGAAGAAGTTCATGAAGCATGAACCCTGCCTGTTTTCATTCACCATCATAGAAAAAAACATGATGCCTGATAGTCTTTATTGTTGTGAGATGAATGAATATAATCACAGAAAGAGACAGGCTTTAAAAAGAAATCTGTGCCATCACTTCTTATCTTCCACAATGGGAAAGAAGACAAAAAATGCACAAGATCATAAATACATTCCTAGTTGAGGGCAGGAGAAAGCAGAACATTGAAGAAATTCATGCCTGATACCCACCCATCCACACACACATACACACCCTAAAATGGGTGGCAAAGCCATTTGATCTAAAGTTTAGTAGGAAACATCCATGATAGGTCCCGTGCATCTTATTGAAACATTTTACACCCAGTGGTTAATCCATAGTAGTGCTGTGTGCGGGGCTCATGTTTATGACTTAGAATTGAAAGCACCAAGAAACAGCCAGCCAAAGCAGTAAGACTCAGCAGTCTCCAGGCTCTGCACTGCACTCCGCCCTTACACGTGGGTGCTTGTGCTTCTGGGCACGCAGGTGTGCTAAGTAGTGCCTGGACCTAAGGAGAGCAATTCCTGAGACTTTGCTCTCTAGTCCTGTGTCCAGCACACAGACCATCAAAGCTGAACCAGCCAGTTGATAGAGCTGAGCCCTCACTAGCAACATTCAGTACCAAATCTAAAGGCTTGGAACACATTTATGCTTATGAATCATCAGGGATAGCAGTGTGGATGGGGACTGCATTTCAGCATGAACTAAATCAGGAAGCAGTTAAATATAAATATATAAAATAATCTATCCTTTTTTTCTTTAACTTTTTGGTTTTTGTGAGTTGAATCTTACTTTGTAGTTCAGCCTGATCTCCTAACTTGAGATCCCCCTGCTTCATCCTCCTGAGTGCTGAGATTATAGGTATAGATCCTGTACCCAGCTAGAGCTCTTACTAACAGTCCTCTTAGCTGAATTCTAACAGTGTCGCTTTGTGTTCTCTTGTACGAGAACTGTGCTTCATCTTTGGTAAGCATCCTCTTTACTGTAGCTAGTCACCAAACACGAAGGTGACATCAGGATTAGTTTGAATGGTTATTGATTACGGATTCCTCTGGCTACTTTTCCCAGTGTGTGCACACACATGTGCACGTTTCAGTTTGTACACACATGTACCCACAGATGTCAGTGTATATGCATGTGAAGGCCAGAGACACACTGTGTGTCTTCAGTCTTTTTCAAGATAGGGTCTCTAATTTTTACATGGAGCTTGCCAATTTAGCTAAGCTTGCTAACCAAGAAGCCACCGAGATCTGCCATTCTCTGCCTCCCCAGCATGGGTTAATAGGACCATACCTAGGTTTTTTACATGGGTTCTAGATTGAACTGATTGTGATATTTCTCTAGCTCCCCAGTTTTTCGATTCCTTTAATTATGGTAAAGTGCACATAATATGGACTTTGTTAATTTAAGTGTTTGGTGTCATTAAATACCCTGAATGTTTATGAACTGTGTTTTAATATATCTGAGTGATTATTTAATATTTAACTGATGGTTTACTTTTCAGCCGATGAAATATGTGCTTTGCCTGCAACTAAGATCAGCCGTGTAGAGATGCATGCTACAGCAACGCCATTTTCTGTAAGTGTATGACCTGGTGGTGATGTGTGTTATAGGAAAATCTGTGTGTTTAAATAAAATGCTTCTCAGGTCTCATGTACTAAGGAGTTGATATAAATTTATAAGCAGGTAGGTTAGTAGGAAATGTTCATAACATGTTTAGTGAAACAAGATTGATACAATAATAATGTATATTTTGTGGTCCCAATTTTGATGTAAAAATGCACTTAATACAAATTTTCAGGTTCTCGGTGTATCAGCTCACAAGGTTGCTGTATTGTGATAGTACCTAGGTTGCTAAGTAACTATCTCTGGGATGTGAGGCCACAGATAATTTTGACATTCTTCTCTATGTTCTCATTATTTTATATGTATGTTTAAATGAACATACACATCTGTATTAGTGTAAATTACACTAACAGTTAAAAGATGGAATTTGTTATGGAACAGAAGTGCTTGGGTAGCTCCTTCATAGCAGCACAACAGAACTTTGCAATAACAGATTGGTGTGCATGCAGGCTAGCTCAGAAATCTGACATAGAGTTATTTCATGGATGGCCATAATAGATCAGCAGATCACCAAACTTAAATGCTTGCAGAGTGCCTCACAGATACACCAGGATTACCTTAACCAGATAAATAAGAGGGTCATCTATTCATACATACTGTTTTTAGGGTTTAAAAAATAGTCATTTCACTTTATTTCTGTGATTATCTTATTTGACTGTTTACCATTTAGAGTCTTTCAGACTTGTCTGTGTTTTTTTCCTTTTCCTTTTTGGAATTTTAATAATGTATCTTGCTCCATCAGAATGTTAGTCTGTTTTGTAGACTCTTCTCAGGGAAGGGTTAGTAACTGGAAAGATTTTCCTTCTGACTCTGTTTTGTAATGTAGCAGCCACAGTTTGTTTCTTCAGTTGGAGCCAAGTACTTTATAAAAGTTACTGAAGAGTTTTTACCGCTTTAGCAAATGAAGACTAGTTTAAAGCTGCTCCTAACCTTTAAAGACTCTTGTAGTTAGTTCACTTTGCTGTGTGTGCTAGCCTGAATAACAAAGAGGGAGTGCTAAACAGATGCCTGTACTGTTGCATACTTGAGACAAATAAATGAAGTGTATGTTTGTTTTGAGATGGAAACTGTCATTTATAAGAATGTGGCTTTAAAAGGTTAGTTCCAAGGATAGTATACCATGAAAGTAGTTTAACTTGGAGTCTGTTTTTAAAGCGGAGCAAAGAAATGTGGTTTGTTTGTTTGTTTGTTTGTTTGTTTGTTTGTTTGTTTTGAGACAGGGTTTCTCTGTGTGGTCCTGACTCCTGGACTCACTTTGTAGACCAGGCTCGAACCCTCAGAGATCCACTTGCCTCTGCCTCCTGTGTGCTGGGATCAAAGGTGTGTGCCACCAAGCCCGCCTCAGAGCAAAGAAATGTAAAACAGCTTAATCTCTATTTTTAGTATATATTGATGCATATTCAATATTACATTTACAATTACATTTTAGTTTGAACATTTTGTCTCCCTTTATGTTTGGAGAGGTATTTCAAATGCAAAGATCTCTGGATCTCTGCTTCTGAGTCTAGGGAGAAAGCCAGCTTGGAATGGAGTTTTCTACCTGTTCCTTTTGGAGCAGACAGTAGCATTTCTCTAAAGGCATCACTTATAGCATTCTATAAAACAAGCTGGCATTGGAACCTGTCACTGATTGGGAAGCATGATTGTAGCAAGCCCCTGGTGGAGAGGGCCTGTTACAGCCTCTGCTTAATGGCCTCCCTTTCCATTGTCAGCTGTTGAGACTTGTATGCTACAAGCTAACGGTGAGTGCTATTCATCCATGTACGTCCATGTACGCACGTATAGATCACTGCATGGGATTGCATAAATCTTGACATTTCTATGTTTAATGCAGTCTTATAAATTTTTCTTTCTCTGAAATTAGAAAGAGACACCTTCAACTCCAGTGACCGTTTTGAAAGCAGAACAACAATGGTGTGATGTTGGAATTTTTAAAAACAATACAGCTTTAGTGAACCAGTTTTATTTGCTACCAAAAGGAAAACAAAGTATGTCAAAGGTAACTGTTGATAAATTTTCTACACTTTGAGAGCTGAGAATATAACTGTGGCAGAATGCATGTCTAGCATGTTTATAGATTTGGCTACAATTCCTAGCACTTCAAAATAAGCTAAATATACAAAAAGTGAATTATGATCCTTGAAAGTGAGATTATTTTGATTAATCTGATTGAGGTCATTTGAAGGAATGAAACTGGGGTGTTTCCACAGTATTATTGAGAGTGCTTTATATATAATTATCTTTTTTGTTTGTTGGTTGGTTGGTTTGGTTTGGTTTTAGAGACGGGTTTTCCTGTGTAACCACCCTGGCTGTCCTGAATCTAGCTCTGTAGACCAGGCTGGCCTCTAATTCACAGAGATCTGCCTGCCTCTGCCTCCATTAAAGGCCTGTGCCACCACTGCCTGGCTCATCTTGCATTCATTAATACTGCTTTGTAAATATGGTGCAAATATAGCATTTAAAAATATTCTATTTTGACTAAGGTATGTTTATTGAGACAGAGTCTCATGTAGCCAGGCTAGCCTCAGACTTCCTGTGTAGCCAAGGCTAGACTTAAATTCCTGGTTTTCCTGCTTCCACCTCCCAGTTACTAAGATTACAGGTATACTTGATCAGGGTTCCAAAGCATAAAGATCTTGTCTGGTGAGATAAAGTAAGGTCTTTAAAAATATCTCCGCTGGATGGTGGAGATATTTTTACCTTTAATTGCAGCACTCAAATCTTTGAGTTTGAGGCTTAAGGCCAGCCTGGTCTGAAAAATGAGTTCTAGGACAGCCAAGGCTACACATAGAAACACTGACTCAAAAACCAACAAACAACAACAAGAACCTCTTTGGGTTGGGCAGTGGTGACACATACTTTACTCCCAGCACTCAGGAGGCAGAGGCAGGCAGATCTCTGTGAGTCTGAGGCCAGCCTGGTCTACAAAGTGAGTTCTAGGACAGCGAGGGCTCTATAGTAGGAGCCTGTGTCCAAAAAAGTAAAAATACTACGGTATCTAATTATTTCAGGTAAGGAATCTGTAACCCACCCTATATATCACTTATCAGTTTAGTTTCTCTAGCAAAACTTTTGGGACCCCTCCCTCTTTTCACACTGCACATTTCCAATTCTTGATAACTAACATTCTAGTAAACACTCATTCCTTTTAAGGTTAATGAGATTCTTAACTGGAGCTGAAGCTGTGTCCATATAAAGATATATTCACATGTAAAGGCATATTAGTGACCTAATTTTTCTGTTTATTTATTTATTGTGTGCATTTGTGTTTTGCCTGTGTGAAGGTGTCAGATTTCCTGTAACTGGAATTAGACAGTTGTGAGCTGTCATGTGGATGCTGGGACTTGAACCTGGGTCCTCTGGAAGAGCAGCCAGTGCTCTTAACTCCTGAGCCATTTCTCCAGCTCACCTAATTTTTCTTAAAGAACAAAAGAGCAGAACATCTGCAGCTAGGAACTTGAGTTTGAATTTTTTCTTTTTTCTTTCTTTTTTTTTTTGAGACAGGGATTCTCTGTGTTGCCCTACCTGTCCTGGAACTCACAGAGATCCCCCTGCCTCTGCCTCCTGAGAGCTGGGATTAAAGGCATGTGCCCCCACTGCCTGGCTTGAGTTTGAATGTCTAGTTCCAGCAGTCTTCAGTGTAAGCTAGGGCAAGTGCGTTATCTGACCTCTGTGAGACCTGTGTCCTCACTGTAAAGTAGAGACGAGCAGGCTTCCAGACAGTGTGCTGGCCCACTGGCGCCTTGCACAGGTTTGCTGGTTGGGAAGAAAAGTGCAAAGTGTCTTGACGACTCAGATCACCTTTCCTCTGGATGAGAATCTCTGATTCAGAAAGGGCTTTAATGGGTTCTGTATCAGAATTTTACTCTTTGTGTGGGAATGGGAAACCCATGATGAAGCTGGATCCTTAAAATATAGCTTATTCTTAAAAGGTTTTGTTGTTTAATAAAAACTGAAGTATAACTTTGAAATAATAAATGTACCTTCTTTCTGACTTTTGTATATTTTGAATTTTAGGTAGGAAATGCAGATGTACCTGACTATAGTTTGCTTAAGAAACAGGATCTTGTTCCAGGAACAGTGTATAAATTCAGGGTTGCTGCAATCAATGGTTGTGGAATAGGCCCTTTCAGCAAAATCAGTGAATTTAAAACATGTATCCCTGGTTTTCCTGGAGCTCCTTCTACAGTCCGAATTTCCAAGGTACTCTATCAGGTCCAGCAAGCCTTATCTGTGATGCAAATGACTTAGACATTCTTACTAATAAACTTGTGAAAGATGCCTAAGAGAGGTGGGTTAAATGTTTAAAAATATGTTTTGTTAGCCATGTATGGTATTTTTCAGTACCAGATTGCAAAATGAATTATAATATTTAAACCACAGAAGGACTGGGAAGTCACTTTGCATTGTCTTTGTTACAAAACCCAGAGTCCATTTTGGAGAGTTTTAAATTCTCGGACATATGAAAATGGATTATATTTTATAGTAAGTCTTGCTCTTTGTTAAGGAGGAAAATCCCCTTTGGAGGATATGATAGGCTACTAGATATTTAAGCCTCGTTTTGTTTGTGAAAAGTATGTAAACTGTAGAGCCAGCTGAGGTAGACTCTTACTCAGCAGGAAGAGCTCTAATTCTAGTATAGTGACAGAAGGGAGGGTTCTATGTTCTAAAGGCAGGTCAAGTGATACTAGAGAAAACTGGGGAACCTTCACCTGTTTCTTCCTCTCCTCTAGAATGTTGAAGGTATACATCTTTCTTGGGAGCCTCCAACTTCCCCATCTGGAAATATTTTGGAATACTCAGCCTACTTGGCTATCCGCACAGCACAGGTGCAAGATAATCCAAGCCAGCTGGTGTTCATGAGGATCTACTGTGGTCTTAAAACCTCGTGTATAGTGACTACTGGGCAGCTTGCAAATGCGCATATCGATTACACATCCAGACCCGCCATTGTGTTCAGAATATCTGCAAAGAATGAAAAGGGCTATGGACCAGCCACACAAGTCCGATGGCTTCAAGGTAACAATAAGAAAGCACCTTTGAGTTGAGTTGTTTTTATTAAAGCTGTTGTGATGGTTATTTATTAGTAGCTGGTTATGAAGATATGTTCTTTGAGAGTATTCTCACTGTATTTCTAGCAGTTATGAACTTGAGTTTGTAAGTTGTTCTTAAAATGTATTTGCTCACTTCTAGATCCAAATAAAGATAGAAAGAAGTAAAGACTGAAAATTAGTATATGGATTCTTCCTTACCCATATAACTACTTATAAAGTAAAAAGATAGAATGAAGATGAAAGCCGGGAGGCGTTATTCCCCTACCCTTTTATGAGGGCAATGTAACTCAGCTGTCCTGTATCTACTGAGATGAGTCTAGTACCTGGCTGTCGTGCACCCTCCGTGCTGAGCGCTTTCCACGCTGTAAACGCCCTGTCTGTGTACCCTCTGACTTTAGTCCATGAGCACTGCTCTTCTATCGGCTGGCTCCCAGGGCAGCGGATTTATGATACCAATTTTAGTAGCCACTTTATTCCTTTATTTACAGTTATCAGAAGCTTAAGAAATTAAAAGAGAAAGGCAAGGTCAGGAACTCTGATTCAGTGTTTTAAAAACTATTTTCTGAAATCATAGCAAAATATTAAAAAGATAGTGGATAGTCTTGATTTGTATCTGACCAAGATGTCTGAATATATCTTTAGCTAAATCACCTAATCTATTAGGCTCTTAATTTCTGTACTAGCAGGTAAGGGAGTTAGAAGTGTTTTCCTTTAAAGTCCCTTTCAACGCTTAACTTTTTTTCCTGAGGAGTTGGGTGTATCTCTGAACACTGTCATGTGTCAGCAGTCTTAATGACTCTGTGTTTTCCCATTACTTCATTAAAAAAAAAAAAAAGTAAAGATTATGTCCTCTTGAAGAAAGAAATAAGCACCTTAACAGGACACAAGTTTTTAAAAAGTGTTTTAAACATTTGTAAAGATTTTTGTAAATGCTCTAGATGTTTTATTTTTTCATTATTTTTACCTCAAAATTGTATACGCTTTTTTATACCAGAAATAAAAGCATTAGACGGCCAATTCAGGCTCCTTGCCACCTTAGAGATGCAGATAGTTCCGTGACCACTTGGCTACAGGTAACTTACTTTACGCCTTTTGAAATCTCATGGTTTGACCGCTTAGTCAGTTCAGAAGTATGTACAGAGCAGTAACTGCAGAGAAGACTTTTCTGTTTGAGAGCTGCCATAAGTGTATAAGCACAGGTCTAGCTTCTTAGGATACACAATCTCATGCCAGTTTGGGGTGTCTGGGTAGTTGTGTCCTCCAACTTTATGTGTGATATGCCCAGTGAAGATGAATCTAATTGTGAAGAATTGATATATATATATATGCCAGTTGCTAACTTAAAGTGTATAGAATATTTTAATATATAATTTTTGTAAAGAACTGGGATTTTTATACTACAGTATTTGTAATTAATGTCTCACTAATTAAATTTCTCTTGAAGAAAATATGCAAACCATTAGACACATGAGTCATTTCTGAACTCTAAAAATAAAATAAATGCACTACTAAGGTGTTGTTAGAATACCTTTTTTGGGGTACGTGAATCCTTAATCATTAAATGGGTACTTTCCAAGCAGTGTTTACAAGGAGCACCTCTGGTTGGTAATTCCAGCAGCTCCCATGGGGAGAGCTTCACTCTGCCTTCATTTAATTTATGTGCTTTGCTTTTGGCAGTGCTTGCTTTTTGCACAAGTAGACTTTGAACTTACCTCATTATTACGTTTGTAATCATTTGTGTAGCTTCCATGATGTGTCTGATAGAAGCTAACATATCTTAACCAAAGTTACATGGTATGCAGATTTGCACATATCAAATAGTAGGCTTTGTTGTATGTGTGTGCTCAGCCAGTTGCAGGAAGTGTATGTTTCAATCCCAGTTACTTTACTTTATTAGAAAACTTCTGGCTTCTAATCCTATTCTCGGCATTAATCAACAGTTTGCATCTCAAAACATTTGTTGTTGAGAAATAAGTTAATTTAAAGCAGACCAGACCGTTGGTTTTGTGACTGCACGTTTTTACCTATTTAGTATGTGACTTAAAGGCATCTTCTAGGCCAGCAGGCAGATATGAGTTTATGGTTCTAACATACGATTTGATTCTTTGATGAAAGGATAGCCTTTCTATACCAACCAATTTGTTAAAATAATAACTCTTTTTACCTCAAGAATTGCCCAAATTGTATTTTTCATTGGCATTACTTCCTTAGGCATAAGTCATGTTTCTGTTTCTGTCGTGGGACTGTTGACTGAAAGACACCCTTAGCAGATGTGGCTTTGCTGTTAGCAGTTCCTGTGTGTTAGAACTGCGTGTCCATGAGTAGGACGGCCTGTCATGCTGATGTGAGCACCTGTAGCTTCTGAGGACCTGCACATCGTGAGGCTTCCGTCTGTATCATGCAGACATTGTTTTCTTTTTCCTCCATCTCTTCCTCCTCCTTTTTTTTTTTTTTTTTTCTCTCCCTGGGGATTGAACTTGGGTTTTGGGCAACCAGGCCAGTGCTCTAACACTGTGGTACCCCACAGCCCAGGCAGATATCTCTTAAAAGAGGGTTTACCTTACACTAAATTTATTTCTTTCCTCTCTGAGCTGTATAACAGTCTTTGTGTCATAAGCCTCTTTCATGTGTTCTGGTCTTTGGTTAGCATAACAGTAAGAATATTGTTGATATTGCATGTTCTTAGAATTATGTTTCTAAAATACTGTATTGGCCTTATTTTAGTTTAGCAAATTATTTTGGCAGTTAACTAGAAATAAGTTATATACACACTCAATCTGTATTTAAAAATTTTAAAAATCCTATTGCATGTATGAGGCACCTTTGCCCATAAGCCAACTACATGTGTAATCATCTGTAGAGAAGTGAAACTGTTGGTTCATTATTTCCAAGACTTGTAGGGTAGCAAAAATTGGTTCTGCTTAGAGAGTGTCTGCTATAACTGAAGGGCTTTATTTTAAAATGGTAGCATATTGACATAAGGAACATTTGTTAACATCCTGTCTGGAATGAGCAGTATTTGGAGCTCCTGTGCTCCTCTGCTCCTAAATGGAGAGACTGCAAGTAGGTGTGGTCTTTGGCCATGTGAAGTGTAACTCTTGTGTTTCCCAAGACTGACTTTAGGCAGTTCTATGTATTGTGTAGCAATGATCTGCGAAATAAAACCACCTTTTTGGCTATAAACAGTTAGAGGTGTTAATATTCACTATGAATGATACAAAGAGTGGTGGTGGCAGAGCCAGTCTGTGGGGGCTGATGTGTGTGTCATTCATTTGAAGACAACAGGTAGTCTCGAACCTAAGGTGGACTGTTTAGAAACTCAAGTTAGGTTGTGGTCAGGAGTCATTTTCTCTAAGATTTGATGACCATTTACCCCTTACTGTATTACAGTTGTGGTGATCTGCATGCAAGCAAAACACAGATGGCTCCAAGAAGCAGTCTAGACTTGTTTTGTTTACATTTTGGAAGTTTTCTTCCCCTCCCCTTCCCTACGCTTTTTCGTTCAGAGCAGCCAGGTTGTGCCCTGCTACTTCGTTGAGATGGCTCTAGCAAAAATCAGGTATAATGCTGCATTTCCAGGTCTAGGGGGCTTTCTACTCACACTTCATCTTGTCACACGCGCACCCCTCGGACTCTGCACTGTTCCTCACATCTGTCTTTCTTCACACACTTCCTCCTGTCTGGAATCCACATTTCCACTCCTACCATTTTTACTAACTGGATCAGTCTGGCCACACCTTGCTTGACCTCTTCTACCTTCTGGAAGATCTAACTGCTGCATTAAGTTTTCTTTCTTCAGGCTCAAAGATGATGTCCCCACTGTCCCTTTCCCCTCTCTGATGGGTATTTGTGTAGAGACTAGGTCTTTAATCTTTTTCACACTGGGCAGTTAATGGTGCCTAAAGATCTTAGCAGGTAAATAAAGAAATTCACCAACTTTGTATTTTTCAATTCCCCAGCCTCAAATCAGGATTAAAATGGGGTGGCTTTAGTGTATTTAGTACCCTGGGAGAAATAGACTCTAGCTTTGTCTCGCCTCACCTGGTTGCTAACTAAGGAAATTGCCAGTTACATAACAGGTTTAGGAAGACCTGAGCTAAAGTTATTTTAGCATTTAATGACATTAGTGGACATAAAGACATTAAAGTTAGTCTCTTTCATGTGTGTGTGTGTGTTGAGACAGGGTCTCACTATGTAGCCCTGGGTGTCCTGGAACTTACCATGTAGATCATGCTGGCCCCAAACTCATCCATTGGCCTGCCTCTGCCTCCCAGGTGTTGAGATTAAAGGCATGTACCACCACACAGGGCAGATGTTAAGCTGCGTCAATTTAAGCATAGAGAACTGCTGGAGACAGCAGACATAGAACTGTTCTCTGCTGCTCCCTGGGGCACACTACTTCTAAGCTTATTGGGCAAAATACTGTTTTGTTTGGTTGAGACAATGTTTCATTCTGTAACCTAGGCTGACTTTGAACTCATGGTAATCCTTTGCCTCAGCTTCTCAAGTGCTGGCATTCCAGCCTGAGTCACACTTAAAGATTCTTACTGTCAGGGAAGCAAGGTGGCCTTGGCCTTCCTCCCTTTGAGTCTAGTGATAGTTCAAAGTCCCCGTACTTGTATATTTCTGTAACTACAATTTCTGACTATGCATGGAAAAACAAACTATAATGTTCTGGGAGAAATAAGCTGAATGAAAGCTAAAAATCTCAGGACAGTTAGTCTCCTTGTCCCAAATGGCTCTCCATCTTCCTGTCAATGTGGTGCTGCTGTCCTTTGCCGAATAAAGTTTTTGAAAAGGGAAGTAAGTGTCTGCCCGGGGGTCTGCTGACCCCAGCAGGTCTAATCAGAAGCCACGCATGACAAAGCATCGCAGGTGCTTGGTGGTGTGTGGAAGCCCCTGGTGTTTGACCCAAGGCCTCCAGCTGCAGTTTGGCACTTCTTTGTTCATTCCAGTTAAAATGTGGGTGAGACTTTGGGTTTTATAGCTGGCTAGGTGTGCATGTGCCTGCGTGTTTGTGGTTTCCAGGTAGCCAAAGCAGTGCCTGCAACTTGGTCATGAGTTGCTCTTTTGATGAGTAGAGCTCAAAAGCCCTCAGGCTCATTTGCTGCCTCACCCAGTCTGTACTGTCCCACTCCATAAACCAAGAAAAAAACTTCAGCGGTTGATGGGTTAAAAGTTTCAAGAGCTCTTCAGTTTTTCAGAATTCATGAATTGAGGATCAGAATTTGTACTGAATTTCCTGAACTATAAGCTGTACCTTAACCTCCGCATGTCCACAAAATGGTACAGATGGGGATGATGTTGGCAGAGGGTCTCTGGAGACAGTTGGCATTTTTTATATACCCAGAAGGGAGCTGTCCTTGAATGAATATAGAGGCAATTGAGAGCAGCTCTGTGTTGCCCAGATTTTAGAAATAAAAGCACACAAATGCACAATTAGGGAAATGTACTAGACAGCACCTTTCAGTAAGGAGGTGTAGTATGCTTTACATTGCCAATTAGTTCCTCATCCACCCCCCCAGTTTAGTCCAGACCTTGAGAGTGAAGGCTGGCCTTGAACTTGGAGTTCCACCATGCCTAGATCACCGTCTGCTTTATAGAAATAATTCTAGACAGCAAAGTAGAGGTGGCGGGGGGCTGATGTGGCAGGGCAGCGCTCTTAGTACTGCGAGCTCACAGGCTGTTTCTGAGGACTCCTCTCCTCACACCCGCATCCCCAGTGGCTTGTGTCATGGACTTCCCCATTGTTGGCTGCACAGCAGCTACTGGTGGAGTATGGCACAACCTCACATCTTTTTTGTTTAAAGGTATTTGCTGTGAAACAGTGTGTGCCAACCATAAACTGTGGTTTGTTTTTAAATAAGATGATACTTTCATCAAACTTTTGCCCAAGCAGAACACTCTTAACTGCCCAGAAACACCTTCTGTCCTTCTCTCTTCCCTTCATACACAGTGTAAATGTTCTGGATTTGTTTTTAGCAATTATGCCCATGTTTTTATTTGTAGCTCTATCATACATGTGTATGTTAATAAAATATTTAGAGTTACCTGGTTTTGAACTTGTGTGTAAAAGGAATCATGATTTATGTATTCTGTGACATATTTTCTGCTTTTTTAAAAAGATTTGTATCCCTGTTTATGCACATAACTGTCTTTCATGTCTTCACTGCTATAGAATATTCCATTGTATTACTATGCTGCAATTACTTTTGATCTTTTGTTTACTAGGATTTGGATTATCATTTTCAGATTTTTGCTATTGAAGACAATGCTGCTGTGGACATTCTGCCCAATTATAATGTAAACTCTGTGTTCTTTGCTGTATTCAGTATTGAGAACTATGATAGACACAACACAGATACTCAGTAAATGTTTAAGGAATGTGTAGCTTCTTGTATTCAGTTCCATGTATGTACAAGAGTTGTTCTAGGTCAGTTGTTTTCAACTACTGCACTGTGGTTCAGTTACCATACCTTAAAAGAGGGTCTTTCAGGACAACTGAGACATGTGTGTGTTTCCCCCAAGTTTAAACATTGTCCCAGCTGGTATTTAATCAAGCATACACATGTATGTTTGTGTCTTCAAAAGTCTCCATTGTAGTTTCTCATGTGATAAGTACTAATAGATGCACACTGCGTGTGCTGTAGCTCTCTGAGGGCCTCAGTAATCTCTAGGACCATACATTTACACACTGCAGCTTGCAGGAGGAGGCTGTAATGCTGAGCTGGGCTCTTTAGTGCCCTCCCTGGCTTGTGGCTGCAGTTCCTGGAACACCTTGGCAACACTTGTTCTTGGCTCTCTAGTATTTGCCAGTGTATGCATAGTATACAAATAGTTCATGGTGGGTTTCATTTGCATTTCCCTAGTTACTAATGGAATATATGGGTCCTCTTCTGTAAAATACTGAATAGTGTCTTTTGCCCATGTTTGATAAATTGTTTTTCATTGATACATATGATTTCTATATATGTTCTGGATGTCAGTCCTTTGCGTATGTATGGTACATGCATTTCCTACAAATTTGTGCATTGTCTTCTGTACTTTGTGTTAAACGTCCTAATCAACTTGGAGAAGACTTACATCTTTTCCATGTGTCTTCCCAGTCAGAAGCATTGTATGTCTCTCCATTAAGCCATCCTTAATGTCTTCCAATAAACAACAGTTTTCTGTCTGAAAGCCTGTCTGACATTAGATTTCTCTGTAGGAAGTGTGTGTGTACATGCTTCTTGACAGGGTTTCTGTGTGTAGCCTTGGCTGTTCTGGAACTCACTTTGTAGGCCAGGCTGGCCTCGTGCTCACAGAGCCACCTGCCTCTGCCTCCTAAGTGCTGGGGATAAAGGCGTGTGCCACCCTGACTGGCTCCAGTGTCACATTTTTAACACTATGGGGAATTTATTTTGAACTTCCCAGTCTTGTCACTGGAGACTATGAAAACAGTCTTTTAGATCTAGCAAGCATCCCAAGTTCTTCCGAGTGCTATCTAGCTGCCTTTGAGCTTTTTTTCTTGGGGGGAGAGGGAATTGAGGTAAGGTTGCTCATTATGTAGCTTTGCTGGCCTGAAACTCACTCTGTAGAACACACTGGCCTCAAACTCAGATCCTCCTGCCTCTGCCTCCTGAATGCTGGGATTAAGTGTGTGCCACTACAGCTGGTGCTTTCTTTTTCATCTGCCCATTATGGCTGTTTCTGATCCTTAACTACAGCACTAGGCAGGACCTGCAGTACAATGCTGGAAAGTACAGATGGTGAACGTATGCCTCCTCAAAGACAATGCATCAACTGCTTTGTGTTGTGTGCACGTGAGCATGCAGGTACGTACACTCATGTGCATGAGGCAGCCAGAGTGGACTACGGGAGTCCTCCTCTGCTACCCTCTGCCTTCGGACACAACTCTCACTGAACCGGGAGCCCTGCCCTGCCCTCAGTGTTGGGTTAGGATGTTTGTGTAACTCACCTGTACTGGTGAGGAAATCTACCCTAGATGCTGGTACTTTATTACGAATAGTAGTTTTACTGACTGCTGCTTTCTCCATCTATATACAACTCTTCTAAATATTAAACTGTACTTGAATTCTTAGTAGAAACACAACTTAGTTGTGGTATGTATGTTTTAATATATTTGGACTCAATTTGCCTCTCTAAAAAATATCTAAAAGATTTCTATATCACTTTATTATTCTACCTTCTTCATTTACTCAGTGTTTAGGGTTTTTAAATAAAATCTCTATTGTCTAGGCTGCTTCCCAAATGAAGTCTGAAGATGTAATTTACTGTAGATGTGAGTAGGAAATACAATGCAGCCTTGTTTGAGACAAGGTTTCTCTCATGTAGCCCAAGCTGGTCTCAGAGATGGCCCTGAATTCCTGATCTTTCTACCTCTACCTCCCACGTGCAGGGATTACAGGCCCATGAGGTGATATCCAGCATTCTAGGATGTTTGTAGTCCCTATAGAAACACTGGGAAACACCGACCTGTAAGGTAGCACCTGCACTGTGGGGAATCCTCGTTGTCTCACTCGCTAGGGATCCTATCTCCACCTCCCCAGCACTGGAATTATGGCCACGTGCTGCTGTGCAGTTTACAGTGCCCCTGGGACTTGAACTCCAGCCCTCAAGCATGAATAGCAAGCACTTAACACTGAACCAATCTCCCCAGCCCCCGTGGTAACCCTCTCCAAGTTATTTTCACCAGAGTAAGAAAGGGCACTGGCATTTCCTTAAATGGCCCAAATTTTCCCTTGCATGACAACCTTTGTTGATTGCTTTGATCTCCAGTTTTTGATTTTGTAAATTGGGGGAGAGGGGTTGTACATTTGAGTGCAGGACAGACTTGTCAAATCCCCTGGATCCAGAGGTACAGGTGGTTGGGAGCCACCTACAGTGGATGCTGGGACCCAAGCTCTGTAACCACTGAGCCCTCCCTCAGGCCCTGGTATTTTTGTTTTGAGCAAGCATCTTATTTTGTTGCCAAGCTGTCCTCCGACTCCTGGACCCAGTCTTCCTGCGTCAGCTTCGCAAGTGTTGGGCCCTTTGGCAGCATGACACCATGCTGCTATTCACAAGTTGACAAGCCTCCTTGGCAGAAAGGTCCTGCTTATGCCTTGGCTTTATCTAGAAACTTGTTTTCTTACATTTATTTGTGTGGGTATGAGTAGGGTCAGAAGGTCAAACTAACAGAAACTGTCCTCTTCCCTCATCCTGAGGGTCAGAGATTGAACTCAGTCCCTAGCCTTGGTGGCAAAAGTACCCGCCTGTTGAGTCATCAGTTTAAAAAAGATACTTATTTTTATGTTATGTGCATTGGTGTTTTCTCTGTCTGTATGTCTGTGTGTAGATGTTAGATCTTGGAGTTACAGACAATAGTGAGCTGCTATGTGGGTGCTGGGAATTGAACTTGGGTCTTCAGGAAGAGCTGTCAGTACTCTTAACCACTGAGCCATCTCTCCAGCCCTGTGCTGAGTCACCTTAACTGGCCCCAAGAAGCCTGTTTCTACTGACTACTCAGGTATTCCAGATTCAGAACTACCTTTCATCATATACACTCTTGGATTCAGTGTAGAAAGCAAGGGCAGAAGTCAACCAGATTGACTACTGGCAGTCAGGAATCCCCCCTTAAAGGGATGAAGGATGGTGCCACTGTTGTTGTAGGGTGAGGAATGCATGCTAATGCACCATGTGCACACCTGTTTCTCTGCACTTCTCCCAGGGTGCAGCGCTGAGGGAAGCAGTCTCAATAGGGAAGAGAGCCAGAGAGAAGACATCCCACTGTCATCTGCGATTGTGATTCTGAAGCCTGTCAGAAACCCCAAAATGTGAAATGCCTTGCAAGTGGGGCTTGGCCTTGAACTCTCTGTTGCTCTTACTTCCACTTCCCAAAGTCCTAGGATGACATTCATGTGCCACTGTACCATCCAGAAACAAACACACTGGAAGAACTGAGGGGTCTTAGCAGCCCTACTGTTGAGCAATTTCCACAGGAGTGACTGAAGGCACGTTCTGTCTACTCAGCTTTCTTTAAGAGAACTACATATATGTGTATATATTTATATCTGGCAAATGATAGAATTATGTGTGGGTGGGGGCAAGAGAGTGAGCGAGCACATGTGTGCCTTAACACCCGTGTTAAGGTCAGAAGACATCCTGCAGGCCTGAACTCGGGTCAGCCTTGGCAGCAAGTCCTTCCCCATGAACCATCTCAGCAGCTTTCTATTCCTTCTCGGTGCTCTACTATGGTAACCTGAGGTTGGCCCTCAAAAGAATTTTAGGTAGAATACTGAAGGTAACTGGATTTCTTTAGCTCACCAAGGCAATGGGCATGTTTTCAAGACAGGAAGGTATCGCACACATATTACATGGGAGGAGAGAAATAAATACAAAGAGCTTTCACACCGCTATACCAAACACCAAAGTCAGGATAATTTAAGTCCCTTGTGCTGCTTGTGACTTAAATAAATCACTAAAATCCCATGTCACTCTTAAAAAAAAGGTGTATTTACAAAATTGTAAGCTAATTTTAAGCTAATAAGCTTATTAAGGATGGTGATGAGATGTAACCCAGGGCAACCAGAAAGCCAACACTAACTGACACGTTAGTTAGAATGCCCGCACCCTGCCCTGCATGTTGTGGAGTACCCAGAGGGCATTTGCCTTTGCCCTAAAAAGTGTTACTTGCAATCAGGTTCAAAATCCTGTTTTAATGATGATGTAAATTTAAAAGGAACTGGCAGTTTTTCTCTCTTAATTCTTCCCTCAATTCAGTCTTTAAGTAGAGAATGATCCGATCCAAGGCCTCACTCCATCAGTGAAGTAGCAGCACCATCTGGGTAGGACACATTCCAAAGTGAACCCACACATGAGCAAAAACCTTACTGTTCGTGTATCTGGTAACCCAGCAGTTCTACTTCTAAGAATTTATTTCAAGAAAAGTTACGATGTACACAGGATTCAGTGAAGGGCTGTTTATAACTATGAAGAGATGAAAAAAGTCAAATTTTGCAATAGGCGATTAAATAAATTAATCATGATTTAGTCATACAGCAGAATAAAAACCCAGTAAAAATGATGCAGAAGACCATGCATGGCCTGGGGAAGAGTTCACAATATATTGTTAAGTGAAAAAGCCAGTTACAAAACAGTGTGCACAACATGAGCCCATTTTTATAAAAATATACATATTTAGCAAAGTAAAAGGACAAATGAATTTATCAAAATTTTAACATTGGTTATTTCAACACAGTAGGATGACTGTTGATTTTGCTTATCCATCCTTTCCCATTCTTTCCTATGTGCATTTTTTACAAGAAAGATTATTGAAAAGGGAGGTAGGAGAGGAGGGAGTTGTTTAATCTCAGAATAGCCAGCTATGTTCCCTAAGACTCCTGGCAAAGTGGCCATTATGTAAGTCTGTGCCTAAAAAAAACCTGCTCTTCTTTTTCCATTGGAGTCCCACAAATTTGCTTCTGGACAAACTGTACACTAAGCCATTTTTGATAGGGCTAAAACTACCACCACCACATACACAAAAATTCAAAGTAATTATTACTAATAAAAGAACTAGATGAGAAAATAGAAATCTTTTAAAAAGAAACCCAAGTACACACTAGTAAACTGTACAAAACAGCATCATCTAATGTTAGTGTATTGCAGATAGCACAACAGCAAACCAGAAGGCTCTTGTGTCACAGAAATCAGACTCACAGCTCTCCTGTTCACTACTTATGCCCACAACTGTCTACACAGAATCATGTCCACAGTTCCCACAGCCTAACAGGAAAGCTGACCTTTCAGTAAAGCTAAAATGACTATCAAAAATCCCTCCTCTTGAAGAGGATACTGTTAATACTTCAAGATAGGACCATTTCAGGAATGCTAGGACTGTATCAAATAGAAATGAATTCTAACACCCATGACAGTAACTAAAGCTACCTGAACAGGCACAGACAGTGATGGACGCCAAGTTTAACAGGCCAGACAATACTTGCTTCTGCATCCAACTTAATTATTCAATTACATTTAAAAAAGACGTTGCTTAAGCTATGGGTGTTTTACCAAAAAAATGTTTTTCAATAAATAAAGTGCTAAAAATCTAGCTAAGTTCTCATGCAAGATAGTATATAGCCAAGACAAACTCAAATTTGTAATAAAGGCAACTTTCATTCAAAATGAACTCTACCCTTATATTTTATTAAAAGGGCAAACATTATGAATTAACCCAGCTGCTTACTTGAATTACAAAATAACATGATTCAATATGAAAATAAGAAACTGTCTACAAATCTCTGACAGTAATAAATTGCAATATACAATGCATACAGGCGTCATACAGAGCAACAAACTCTCGTACAAAACAAAAATATTTTAATACCTTTAAAATCCAATTTTTTTTTCTTTAAAATCATTCATGAAAAAGATTCTCAAGTCAGAATTAACACCTCAATTAGTCAAGCATCAGGAAGCTACATTACAGCTACTTATTGTACAAAGAGGCGGCTTCACCCTTACTTCCTCCCAATGCCTCTGTTCCAGACTTGCTCAGACTCTCACTCTCCACAAGCTTGGTTCCATCCTGTTTTCAGATCACGAAAACTGAATCTGCTGGACACCGGAAATCTAAGATTTGAAAATGTAAATTAAAAGCTTAAAGTAACATGTCTATTTCAGATACCAAACAGGCAAGGCAGAGGGCTGCCCCCACCCCAGCTAGGCAGGCTGCCCAGCTCAGAGTTCTCTCAGTTGTCATCTATGTAGATGGGAACACCTGTAAAATGTTCTAATCGTTAAAGAACTTTAATAGTAATACGTATTTTGAGAAAAACTTATTGTATCCTTAATGTAACTGCAATTACATTAATGAATTGGAAATGATGGGTGATTACAAACAAAATCAGTGAGTAGCTGGGTGTGGTGGTGCACACCTTTAATTGGGAGGCAGAGGCTGGCAGATCTCTGTGAGTTCAAGGCCAGCCTGGTTTACAAAGAATTCTAGGAGAGCCAGGGCTGTTACATAGAGAAGCTCTGTCTCGAAAAAACAAAAAGCAAAACAAAACAGAAAAAAATGAGTGACTATACCGTGTGTTTGAAGCTTTCTGAAATGCAGACAGCACCGTACCTGTTGGTAGGACGTCGTGTAAACCATAACGTTTTGTTGCTGGCCATCCGCAGTTATTAAGCCAGCTGGTAACTGGTTAGCTGAAAGGAAGGGGAGGGGAAAAAAAAGAGCAAATGATCTTACTTTCTGGGCCTCAAACTTTGTTTAATGCCATTATGTCCCATTAGATTTCTCCCACACATGCAGAATATAAGCCCATGTAAAATCATGACTCACAACTCTAAACTGCCCTTAGCAACAGGGTTTGAGACATGCTCAGACGTAGCCTCACCACAGGGCTTGGCTGGCAACACAGGACTGAGCACCACATGTCCCGTAAGTAACATGTAAGCCTAAAATTTTCTGGTACAAGCTACAGTAGTCAATATTCCTAACTCAGGAATCTTCACTTGAAACTAGAAGTTATGGAAATGACTCATAACTATCAAAGAAAATCTCCTACTTAAAATCTACACATGTCACTCACTAACTTCAAACACAAACAAAGGCATAAACTTGTAGTGGTCACTGAGAACAGGTCTGAAAGATCGCCCAGTCCTGAGACTCGCCAGCACTGCTGCCTACACACTGCCCATATGGTGGGTGAGCCGCTGCCCAGCACAGCTGTGGGATGTGCTTACTGAATGCCTCTTCTGTGAGCTCCTCGCTTAGTCCATCTGTGGCTGAGACTGCTCCACCAATGCCCTTCTCTCCTTTCATGGCCTAGGGAAGAAAGAACCCAAAGTTGTTAAATGAGAATGTTCATGTAATGTCCCGAATCAGAAGCTTCTGTTAGAAACCTTTACTCTGAGTATTTTATGAACACTTTCTGGGATCACATATACACAAGCAGGCAGAGTTACCAGCCTTTATTATGATAGCTAGTTTATCAACCCTTTCCGGGATCACACCACACACACTCATTGCGTACACATGCACATGGGTGGAAAATAGTGGATACTCTAAGCTTTAGTGTTTAAAATTCCCAAATAAAAGTTAGTTTGAACCAGAGACCTCCAAAGTTCCACCTGTTTTCTGGGTACCACAGACAGTGTTGTGGAATTATTTGGGAGAGTACTGTGCTTTAGTTTTCATACTTTAATCATAAAAACACCCATACCATCACAGCAAGCCTGAGGACCTGAGTTCAGATTCCTAGCAACCCACTTAAAAGCTGGGTGTGGTGCACACACCTGTAACCAGTGCTGAGGACACAGACTAAAGGGCTCTGGGGCTTAGTGGCCAGCCAGCCTAGCTACTTGGTGAGCTTTGGTCTCAATGAGACTTGTCTCCGAACAGACAGCACCAAGTGACAGACAGCACAAGTGCGTGCACACACAGCGTCCTCTTGGTGCCCGAGAAGCCTCACACCGGCTAGGTTACCACAGCAGCACAGACCACTGCTTATGAAGTATTTTCTTTCCTTCCTTTTTTAATTTTCTCTCCCCAGAACGTTTCTCTGTGTAGCCATGGCTGTCCTGAAACTAGCTCTGTAGACCAGTTTCACAGAAACCCACCTGCCTTTTCCTCTCAAGAGTTAGGATCAAAGGCGTGCAGCAACACAGCTTGGCACTTAAGTAGTCTTTTCAATAATCTATAATTAAATTGCCGGAGTCTCTCTTTATAGACAAGGCACCAAAGTCTAAAGCATTTAAACCTGGCCACGATAAAACAGTTCAGACCTCAGGCAACCCAAACCCAGAATTCTCTTAATCACTACCCACCTGCTGAAGTTTGTAATAAACGAAGGAAACAATAAAAGGCTTGGAATTTAAATACTATAACACATTAAATACTACTGGAAATGTAATGCTGCAGAGTATTTAAGCGATGTATTGTAAACACTGAGGTGACAGTGCGTGTCATTTACCTCTCTGAACTTTTGAAGGTACAGTTTCAGGGGCTCCACATAGCTGTCAAAACCTAGCGTGGACATGGCAAACAGGATATCCTCCCCATTGATTGTCTTCCGCTTCTCTTGATGACACCGTTCGCTTGCTTCGGACGTTATAAAGCTTATGAATTCACTCACACATTCCTGAACACATTCTTTGGCATCTTTTGCAATCTGAAGGAAAAAAAGCCATGAGTAAATTTGTAGGGAACATAAGTATTACCTTAACAGCTGCAAAAGAAAAAGCTACAGAAACTGTATATCACTGTACTGACCGACAACCTTTTGACACAGGGTCTCGTGTCTCCCAAGCTGGGCTCTCTCTGCGAACTTTAGATCTCCCTGCCTCCACCTCTCAAGAGCTGGCACTACAAATGGAGTTTTAAAAGCCCAGAGCTTTGTGCGTGGTAAGCAAGCACTCCACCACCTGAGCCAGGGTCCTACTGCTGCTGATGGCGAAACTTTAGCCCCTTAAACACTGATGTATGTTGGAACAGCAACTCGGAGTCAGAATAAACAGAACAAACATGTACATGACAGTAGGAACTATTCACAGCAAACAGAACTGAGATGGTGAGAGCTACCACTGAGTGGCCCTACCGTCCCAAACAGATGAAGACCACATGCCCAGGAAGTCAACCCCAGTGCCTGCACTGAGCACACAATGGGTTCACACTCAGCAAGCACTTTTCTCAGCATTTCCAAGAAATGATGATCTAGCAGATAAACAACAGGCCCCTCCCTAAAACAAATAAATAAAAATGGGCTGAAGAGTTGGCTAAGTGGTTAAGAGTACTGGCTGCTCTTCCAGGACACAGGTTCAATTCCCAGCAACCCCATGATGGCCCACAACCATCTATAACTCCAGTTCCGGGGATTCGACTCCCTCTTCTGGCCTCAGGCACCAGGCATACATGTGGTGCAGACATACATGCAAACAAAACATTCATACATAAATAAAATGATTAAAAAAAAAACAATGTTCAAAAAAAAAAAAACTGAATCCACAGGATACTTAGAAAAGAGTAAAATATTGAATTTATTTACTTTTTACTATTGAGGCTAGAAAATGTCAAGTTATGGTTTCTGAGTATTGCCAGGAACAGCATAATGAATAAAATATCATTATGAATAAAAATTCTCTTTAAGTTCTGGGATCTGCTAGGCATTGCAGTGAATGCCTTTAATTCTTGGGAGGCAGAAGCAGGCAGAGGGCACCCTGGGCTACATGGCAAGTTCCGGGACACCCTATCATAATATATACATATATACATAAAAAGATAAAGTTCTGGGATCTAAAAATGAAAAACAAATAGATCAATCAAATAATTAATTCTACAGCCACTTAAAATGGCAGTGACACTCAAAATTCTTCCTAAAAAAATTGCTATTATTGGGCCCTATTATTGGGCAAGAAGGTTCATTAGGTAAAGGTACTTGCTGTCAAACCTGACCACCTGAGTTTGACACCAGGGCCAAAATGATGGAAAGAACTAAATTAAATACCATAAGTTGTCCCGTAACCTTTACACATGTTCTGTGCTGTTCTGTTCAATTTTATATGGTAGAGAAGGTAAATCAAAGTGCACACACTGAACGAAAACAATGGAATGCAAGCCAAGCGGATAACTCTATATTTCCTAAAGCAATGTTACATTATTATTTTATCTAGCATGCACACACACACACACACACACAACTTTATATTAAAGTTGTTACGGCTGAAACATGCAATCAATTTAACATGAGACATTTCCACTGTCCTCCTAACACCAGGCCTCTAATACCTGGTGGCTTAGTTATAGCATGTCTTTTTAGACCAGCCACATTTTAGCGGCTTGGTGGCCACAGAGCTGGAGTTCTGGGAAAAGACAGGGCAGGCATGAGCAAGTCTGCAACAATTCCTCTGCCCTAAACACACAGAGGAAATTTCTTAGATCAGGACTTACAGTGTGAGCGACATACCTATAGTACATTTATTGTAAGCTTTACTTTCAAAAGAACAGTTATAAATGGATGGCAAAAATTAATATATATATAAATATATAAAGTATGAAATTTACCTTAGACCAAGTGATACGCTCAATTTTGAGCTTTGTCTGTTTTATGACACAAGGTCTCACTATGTGGCCAAGGTTGGTGTGGACCGTATGTAGCCTTTGAACTCTTGGCAATCCTTCTGCCTCAGTTCCCCAAATGCTGGAATTAAAAGTGCCACCACACCTGGCTGAGGAATGTTTTGCAAAAGGCATTCTAAGAAGACAAAGCTACTGTGTGTGTCAGATGAAGTGCACATCACCCCATTTGCATTAAAAATGAACACAACTGTTTCCAAATGCCAGGGTGTTGTAAAATCTGATCATACCTGTCCAATGCAACCTAACGTCACTGACATTCTAGTGTCAGTGCACAGGGGTAGGTGAGAGGACTGAAGAGAGAGCACTGTTCAGTAGCCAAGTAGTCAGAAACAAATATTCGATGTGCTGAAAGGCTGGGGACTGAAATCAATAGCTAGCTACTGATTTAACTACGTATACATGTGTCTTACAGTTTCCATTCCCTCGCCCTCCCCCTGCAAAAGAAAAGCCAGATAAAGTCTCCTCTACGTTACCTTTCCTGTTTGAGGTATGGCATTTTTCATTATCCTAGCCACATTTGCAATTGGAAGATAAATATCTTGTTCTCTGAAACTTTCTTTTGAACCATTTGTATCTTCATGATCATTCATGCTGTCCTCAGTATCTAAAGAAAGTTTTTTAAGAATTAGGTTTAGGGGCTGGAGAGATTGCTCAACGGTTAAGAGCAGTTACTGCTCTTGCAGAGGACCCGGGTTCGGTTCCCAGCACCCACATCAGGCAGCTCACAACCGCCTGTTACTCCAGTTCCACGGGATCTGATGCCCTCTGCGTCCACAGGCAACTGCACACACGGTGCACATAAGCTCACCCAAGCACATACACATAAAGCTTTTCATAATTTTTACTTCAACCTTGAGAAGACTATCTGTGATGTTCTGAAGCAAGAGCCACGTGGCTCAATATCCGATTTGCATTATGTATCAACTGTTTTCCACATTTTCCTCAGGGTCAGAACTGATCTCAAACCCAGTGCCCAGCATTCTTGTCTTCACTGTCATGTAAAATCCCACCACCCGGTCTTCAAAAAGTTCCCTCATATCCCTATAGCACCTTGCAAGATGCCCCTTTCATGCAAAACCTTTGCTAGTTCTGTGCTTTCTCTAAAAGGTTTTATAATTCTTTTCGCTTCTCATTCCCCTCATCAAGATTTTTTTCCTGATGCCAGGTATCAGGTTTGTGCGCCTGGGTCTTGGTTCTATGGGCAGATGGGGGGTGCCCAGCACTGGGGGGAACGGAACTCAGTGTGGACTGCTTGCCTTCCATGTAGGAGGTCTTGGGCTCAATCCCCAGAAGCCGCAGGGTCATAACTCCTGTCTAACTTAGCTATAAAACTCAGTCTGCAACCTATGCTCCTTACAAACTGCTAGACTAAGGTTTATGTTTATCAAAGCCAAGTTTATATAATCCTGTATACAAAGGTTTATACAGTATAAAACTCCCAGCATGTATATAAACTTGTTCATATAAAGATTAAATTAAATTCTACAGACCTGAAAAATTACTGACTCAACTGGGTAGCGACAACATAGTATATAGGAGCACCAATCCCTTCACAGCTCCTAAAGCTACATGTTTAAATTTACAAATTAAAATGGCACTAAAGTAAACTATTTCTGGTGGATTAATTAAATAAGAATTCCTCTTATTTACTGTTTCCAGGGAGGCAGTGATAAGTTTTGAGAATTTCTGAAAGCACTAGCAGAGTCTTTCTAGGACTCAGCACGCTTCTGAAGACTAGTTCTAGTAAAACAGTAGGGTACTCCAAGAAGGGGCTTGCTTTTCAAGTATGTGGACAGAACCTAGGAGATACACTAACTGTAGAGCACTGAGTGACTACCTCCAGCTGCTATGCCTGTCTCTTTTTTCCTTGCCCTTCCTTTCTTTCCCACCTCTCTTTCTTTTGAGACAAGATTTTTCCATGTAGCCCTGCCTAGCCTGAAACTTGCTTTGTAGACCAGGCTGGCCTCGAACTTACAGAAATCTGCCTGCCTCTGCCTCCCGAGTGCTGAGATTAAAGCTGTGTGCTACATCTGGTCTTAACTTCTTATTTTGAGACAGGTGTCACAAAGCTGATTAAGCCAGTCCTGAACTTGTAACCCTCCTGCCTTAGCCTGCCATATAGCTGGGATTATAGCTCTGTGCCACTAGACCAGGCTCATTGAGACTTCAGTGAACTAGGGCATGCGATCGCTCTCTCTGCTGTAAAGACACTGGTGACCTAGTGTAGCCTGGCTCTGGCTGTGGATCTTACCATCGTGGGGTTGGATAACATAATGGCTTCCTCCAATGTAGTCTGCGGAAATCCCTAGTTGAGAAGCATCTGTTGTGGAGCTGTCGCCATCCATCTAAGGAGACAAAGTCTTTTAGTCTCTTCAGAAAACATGACTCGGCGCTTAAACTCTCACCAGGTGGACTAATTCTATTTCTCAGTTTAACTTATTGAAAGAAAATATATTTCTTGACTTGGAAAATTTTTAATAATTTGCTAACTACTCAATATTCCTGTCCATTTTCCATATGTAGTATAACTATAAAATCAAGAGAGAAACAAAACAACAAAATGAATCTACAGTTGACCTTACTTACCATACACCTTTTCCTTAGAGTACAAATCAAAGTGAGCAAAGCATTCCCAGGAAGTAGCCCAGCCCACCCCTCCCTTGAGGCCTAAGGATGTAAAATTTTGTTCCTGCTGCACACTTCCCTTTGCTGCCTCTATGTCAGCCAAAAGTACAGCTACCTTTTTTTTCCAGCAGGGTGTTGTTACAGAGCCCAGACTGAACTTGCAGTCCTCCTGCCTTAGCCTTTCTACATGAGGTATACACCGTCATGCCAGGTCTTGAACGAACCCATCATCTGAGTCTAATACAAGCATCTTCTCTTCCCCTGGCTCCTCAAACTTTTTTTTTCTCTTTTCTTTCCTTCTTTTTTTTTTTGTTTTTTTTTTCTCAAGACAGGGTTTCTCTGTGTAGCCTTGGCTGTCCTAGACTCCCTCTGTACACCAGGCTGGCCTCGAACTCACAGAGATCCACTTGCCTCTGCCTCCCAAGTGCTGGGATTAAAGGCATGTACCACCATGCCTGGCTCCTCAAACTTTTTGATTCTTTAAAGAAAAGAAAATATCTAAGAGACCGGAATATAGAGTTAGGAAAAGTATAACCACAGAGATCCGCTTCCTCTGCCTCCGAGAGTGTTGGGACTACAGTTGTGTGCCACTATGCCCAACTCACACCTTGTTTTCTAAGATAGTCTCTCACTGACCTGGCACTAGCCAATTAGGCTTGGCTGTCTGAACCCCAGGATCTGCTTGGATCCCCCTAGCCCAGGCTATGCACATCATCACGGCTGGCTTTTTCACATGTGTTCCGGAGACTGAACTCTGGTCCTCATGTGGCAAGTACTGAGTCAACCACACTTACTCCTCAGCCTCTACCTTTTTTCTTTTCAGCCTGTTTAGGACTATGAGAAACAACAATTTTAAGAGGAAAAATCTGGGAAGAAAGGAAAGTATCAGTCCTGAACAGACTCTAGTTCATTTCAGCAGCACCAGATGCAGCAGCTTTCTGCTTTGCGAATACTAGACAAGGAAGCCCTGGCCTGCGTGTATGGAGAGCTGCACGCGCAGGGCAGCAGCTGCACGCTCACTGCACACTGAACCAAGGCCTAGGAGACACACTAACTGTAGTCTGCATTCTCCACGGCTGGGGTTTCTCTAATACGAACATGCCAGGCTAGTCTCCAAGTTTTCAACATGGCATATCTCCTGTGCATCTGTTGGCTTTGGTAGCTAATTCAGCTGTAGAAAGAGATACATTTCTGTAATTAGAGCTGTTTTAAGGAGCGTTTAACAGTCTATGGAGATGTAGAGGTCCTATTCACTTACCTTCCTACCTATTTCTATATTTAGGGAACAGTACTGCCCTGCCATCTTACATTAACTAATACACATATCACCCATCACCCCAATAGACAATGCTACTTCTTATCATAAATGCCTTTCATGGACATGAAAATAGACCTGTTGGCCATGGAAAGACGGTCTACAAGGATAGCTGAGGGGTCACTATTTTGGAAGAAATAGGATCAAAAAGTTTGTCTCAGAACCCCAAATTGAAGACAAGTCTTGACTAGTAAGGTGTGAGATTCTTGGCTAGGTGAATGTTCACAGGATAGTGTCTTAGTGTTCCCCAAGCAAGAGTCTGTTCAAGGAGCTAGGTGGATCTAGAGATGAGCTGACTCATAAATAAAACCCAAGATACTAGAGCAGAGAGCTGACTCCTGGCATCTTGCTGTACGCGACCGTGTGGACTGCCTGCACCAGCCTTCCAAGTGGGCAGATAATACTGTTTCACAGCTGTCAGAATGAAGGGCAGAGCTGAGAAGATAGTGCTTGGCTCACAGTTACTGCAGGCGCTGGCTCGCCTCTTCATCTTCTGAAGCCCTGTGTCTTCTACTTAACTGCACATGGTGCATGTCTTTGGGTCTACAAGTTTTAGCCTGTCACTGCAAGCCTTCTGTTCCTTGCCTCTTTCTACCATTAAAATCCGCCCCCCCCTCCCCCTTATTCCAACATTCCTTTCCCGGCTGGAATTTCTTGACTTATCCTGTTCTGAAATCTCCAACGTCCACTTGTCTGAAGACAACAGCAGCAGCAGCATCCCTTAACACAGCAGCCTAACCTCTGGGCCTTACACCATGCTGGCTACTCTGCTGTATATAAGGAGTAGAGGGGAGAACTTGTTATGTAGTCTAAGGTTTGTTTTTCTATGAAATGTTTATGAAAGAGAAATGGAGATGAAAGTCAGCCAGCAATCAGTTCACAGACTGAGCACTCACTGCTTACTGGTCCACACTTTGGGGCACTGTCCTCATCCACAGAGAACAAATATTACATAATCTAGGGGAGAGGGTGAGGAGTACAGAGCAGTCTGGGCTCTTCCAGGCCACTGGGTCTGGAATCGCCTAGTTTAAAAATCCCTGCTACCTTCTGGTCATGAGAATTTGAGCATGGTGGATGGGTGGAGGACTTCCTCGTGGATCAGGAGACATAGCTAAAAACACTGAGCATGGTATACCGGGGATACTCCATGCTGTTACATACTTAGCATGTGTGTATATGCAGACATAATATAAATAAACATATTTAGCATATAAATGACAACCAACCAACCAATTGCTAATGCTACCAAGTGCTAAGAAATACAGATGTTTTACTAGTGACCTTATTTCAAAGGGGCTTCAATAGACTAGTCTGAGAGGGCCAAGAACAGCTCCATTAGGAGATGAAACTTAGCTAGCGATGACAGCACATGCCTTTAGTTTTAGCACTCAGAAGGCAGAGGCAAGCGGATTCTTGAGTTCAAGGCCAGCAAGGACTACACAGAAAAACCCTGTATTAAAAAACAAAACAAACAAAAGGAGATGGCATTTAAACTGAGACTGAAAGAAATAGAAAAAAGGGGTTGGGGGCACAGTGATGTTTCAGACAGAAGAAATAGAGAAACACAGTATTGGGGGACAAGCTAAGAGCCACCAAAGGGGTATTTTTAGTAAAAGAGTAGAGTACCGCCCAGGATAGAAAATGGAGGGGGCAACACCACAGCCAGAAGACAGAAGAGTGTGTAGCATTGCCACTGTGGCGGGAAGCAGGCTAAGATGATCCCCAGCACCTGTCCAGGGCCAGAGCCCTGCACATCACCATGAATTTACAATGTCATGTGCAGCTGAGGCAGTTCCTAGGCCTGGTGAACTGAGGTGGAGAAGCCACCTTATTACATTAGGGTCAGCACCTATGCTATCTGAGCTGACAATGATGGCTTTTTTGTTGTCTTTTTTGTTTTTTGTCTTTGAGACAGAGTTTCTCTGGGTAGCCTTCACTGTCCCAGCCAGCTTTGTAGACAAGGCTGGCCTCGAACTTGTGGAGATCCGCCTGCCCCTGCCTCCCTAAGTGTTGGGATTACAGGCATGCACCATCACGCCCGGCTGCTGCTGATATTCTTTAAATCCAATGAAGTGCTTAGGCCTGGCTTTTCATGTTCCCTCTGCATATCCACTGACTATATATTTAGAATGTTTAAGCTGCTTGGAAAGCCAGAATGTTCTGGTGCAAGGTCCCTGGCCTCCTCTGAGTTGGATGCACAGCTCCCACAAACGAGAAGTGTTGTCAATGGGTCACTTTCCACCCTCTCTGCTGAGGATTACAGAGCCGCTGTAACAGGGTTCTGTGCAAATGCCCCAGCAAAGGTGTGCTACAGCTTAAAAGCACACAGCATCAAGTGTCTGTAATTTCTGTTTTTTTTCTAACAGTTTTGGTTCTTCCAGGCACAAAGACCTTTCCTCCCAGACCCAACCTCACTTCTTATCTGCTCTTTATCTTCCTTGGAGAGTAAGAAATAGTATCAAGATTCCCATCTCTATGCCACAGCTGCGCTGTTATGGCTTGTGAAAACCTTCACTTTTCCCACTCTTTGGTCTAGCTTCACTCTCACTGCAACACATGGTTCTTACACACCCTTTCATTCCTATGTAGACTCCCTAATGAATGCTTTTAAACTCTGGCGTGCCAATGCCGGCACTCTGAAAGCTGCCAGAGATCTTGCAGCCTGACGGACCGGAACACTGAGGCCGCCTGCTCACTTCGTTCTCCCCAGACTTACAAAGCAATAATCTTACTCTGTCCCTAACTGTTAGTTTCAATCCACGGTTATTGTTTTCTCTTTCTTCCTCTACTCTTCTAGTGAACTCATTAAATGTTACCTCTACTCTCATAAATGCTAAATTTACAATCACTGTTTACCTGCCACACAAGCAGCCATCAAGGAACACTAGGACACTGGGGTATAAGCCATCTCCCCTCTCCTGGTAACTACTCATCTGAGCTAACTATGTCAGCATCGTCTGCTGCTCTCCACCGGGAACTGCCCCTCCTTTCCTACCTCACTGGATCACCATCCAGCCCAGCTCAGCATCCTGTCAAGACTAACTTAACAAAAATGCTTCCACAAGACCTCTTGTGTCAAATCCAAACCTCTTCAGAGCTTTACAAGAAGGTTCCTTTTGCCACCTAACAAAACCTTAGTACTAAAATATGCCTGGGGGACCACCAAATGCAGGGCTCTCATTTAAGAGTGAAGCAACCATGACTCATAGGAGCTGTGCCCCGCCTGGAGTCATAGATGCTGCAGCAGAGCCAGATCCCGCCAGGTGGGAGGTCTGTCACACCATCATCCTATGAAATCCCCACCTAGAAAAAAATGTCTGTCTCCATCTCCAAACCAGTGGCTCTGAGTGACAACTTTTACCTAACCAAATCCCATCAAGTGTCAGGCCCTCTTCAGGCCAGGAGGATTCCTCCTGACAGTCCCAGGTTAATTAACTACGCCCCTCTCAGCAAGTGCAGGAAGATTCAGCCTTTTCCATTCTGCACATAACCATGTTCACATTCATTAATAACCTACCAGCTGAGCAGGCGGCCCATAGCAATCAGTGAGCGTGTGCCAGTGGCTGACAAGAAGCAAAGGCGCTAAGCACAGGGACCGTCTGCCTCAACTGCAAAGATTCATACAGAACTAACCAAGATGATTAAAACATACTCACTGTCATGAAATACTGTCAGAATTGTACGTCAATGGTGCTCTCAAACACCTGTCACAAAGGTGTTGGATCCTTGTCCAATTTTAACCTAAAAGACAAACATCAATTAATAGTAACGTGTATGGTCTATAGGCTTTCCTAAAATCAAAGAGAACACAGGTCACCTTATGTCCTATACTTAATCAATGGAGGGGAAAAGTTAATTCTACAGGGAAGGTGGAAATGGCTTTCTAACATAGCCCTGGATTTGTTTTAATAATCAATATTCATCACAACCCTGAAAATAAGGGACCAAAGTATATATTATGCAAAAGACTGAAAACTCACATCTAATTTACATCAAATATTGACACCAAGTACAGAAATAGCCTACTTATTAACTTGAAATTTTGAGGGTGGCTTTCTTAAACGTTTCAGAGATGTACACATTTTTAAACTGAAAAGGAAGGAAAAAATGTCTATCAGACTATATGCTGTGCTGCCCCCACTGCACATGGGGAGGGCATGGCCACACTGCCCCAAGGGCACACCGAAACACAGACATCCACAGGGCCCTTAGCTATCGTGCTAAAGCGCCATCACTGTGAACTAAAATCACAGCAAGCCAGCAAGCACTCCGGTCTTACTGTAAGGCATAAATAGCTGAGTAAATCAAAAGCAGTGGCAATACTGGCACCTTCCTAGTTGCTGTTTTTGTATTTTTTTCAAAGGAAATACTTAAATGGAGGGGGTACAAAACAAAAATCTAGTATTAATTTCAAAGGAAGGATTGCAGATTGGCACTGTAGTATGAAATGTTGTACACAGCAGGGAAAAAAACTGTGGCTACTGAGTTGAATTTTAAAAATGGCATTCAAGGACCCAGACAAGCAAAGACTGCCTGGCATTGTTCTAATATTAAAAGTAATCTGTATTATCTGTCCATACATATCCCCTTTTATAGATCCAAAACTGCTCTTGTAGCTTTAAAAAGTGTGTCTGAACACTTAAAACACAGGAGTTGGGCATGCTTATGTATCTTGCTTAGAATAGGTGGGTACAGGGTGAGAGCCTTACCAACCCTTATAGTTGGCTAAGTATATATTTAGATTTAGTCCATTAAAAATAAAATAATATGGAAAGCATTTTCCTAAGGGCAGGTTATAATCTGTAAAATAGCTCAAGGGAATGCATACATCTGCTTAATGTTTGAAGAAATGCAAATTTGTATCCAAGAAAAGCAGCGCTCCCTTCCTCCAACCTCCATTCTTTGGCATGGACAACCACGGCTTTGCATCCATAGAATCCTTAAATTAAGTTACAGAGCAGTGCAGAAGAGGGAGGAATGATTTGCCTTTGAAAGGAATCCTGGTTAAACTCTCAATACTTCACCCATAAAGCGCCTATTTATCAATGCCACTACTACTGACCGGTTGAGCCCTCACTTTCTGTTGCCGTTTAGTTTCCCTCCCGAGAGCTGAAGACACCCCGGTGGTTTGTGGCACTATCCACAAAACGAGGGTCCGTGAGGGTTAGCGGGATGCCATTTTTTTTCTAAAGGTCGCCCGCTACCCAACCTTGCCTAAAGCAAACAGTCCTGCTGTAGCACTTCGGGCATGAGGAGGATCTGTGGGTGCTCGCTAATTCTTTGTTCTCGCAGAGCCTCCCGCCGCCCCCCTCCGCCCCCCAAGCACGGGCGACTGGAGCCCCCGTGCAACCTCCAAGACTCCCTTCCCACCTTCGGGGCAAGTCCGGGGCGCGCCAGCCGCCAGATGGCTGCATGCTGCGGGCGCCTGGCGGGCCGGGGGCCGCCAGGCCGCTCGCTCCTCGCGGGGACCCGCCGCCTCGGCTCCCAGGTGCCCGGGCGGCCCCGCCGAGCGCATTCCCCGCCGCCCGCGCCCAACGCCCGCCGC